TGCTCATGACCTACACCTTACATTCATGACTAGACATTTATGTACAAAAAGTGTAATGAAATCCCATGGACAGAATTTAAAGCTGGAATAGCTCAGGGAAAAAAAAAATCTGGCTAGGAGAAAGAGATTATAAAGTTAGCAGCAAATACAGTTAACTTGGAATAATTTATTCAAGGGGTATTGGGAATTCTCCAACACAATCTTAAGACATGCTAGGCCCTTTTCTGAAATATATGCACAAACTCAGATTGTGGTCTGGTGAGAGATCACTGGTGAGATTATGGCCTGTACTACACTTCTGGGTTGGTTGGACGTTTCTAACATCTTTTATGAGTTTAAGATAAATAAAAATACTCACACAGAGAGTCATAGATAGCCACATTGCAGTAAGAAATCAACTGAATTTTTTCCAACTCCATACCTCATTTGAGTTCTTTCAAAGTTAGTAATGATTTGTCTGTTCTGTTGAAGATTTACACCAAGCTTTAACGACACTATTTCCAACATCTCTGGAATGATGTGTTCCATTAGGCTGCATCATCTGACTCACTGTATACTTAAATGCACACTTCTATTGATCTAGTCACCAAGCTTGATCACATCCCATTCATTATTTCAATTACTCAAATTACGAACCCAACAGCATTGTTTCACAGTGAGTCACTTGGTGCCAATACTCCACCTTTATTATTATTATTCTGCTCTGTTGCTGCCAGCAGCATGTTTCACCAAATCAACCTTCAATCAAATGTAAGGATTGGAAAGCATTGGTGAACATTAGTAATGACAAACTGGAATGGTTTAATGGTTGTAGATTCCATTGTGACCACTTCTAGTCACACTTCATCCTTACATAAAAAATTCTGGGAGGTGGCTAATATATTCAGGAAGTGCATTACTACAGGAACACCATACTGAGTTTTTTCATCTATATTCTATGTAAGATGGGGAAATAACATTATAAATTATTATGCTGTAATAATGTCAAGAATACATCCAATGGTTAGCTGAATTATATTGTTGATGTATCAATATATTTGACATTGTATACATGTTTTAGGCATCTACCTGCAAATATGTCAGTCAATGAATTTGAAGCAGCTTGTTTGCAGTCAACTAGTAAAAAATAACATAAATGAAAAAAGACTTAAGTATTTAAAGCATCTGAATTCAATGAAAACCAAACAAACCTGAAGTGTTTAGAAGAGCAAGCTCTGATTGTATAACTTCACACAGTACCAGAGTGCTCCACAGTGCCTACCACATAAGCAAGATGTGGTGTCTGGATCACAAAAGATCTTCCCCACTCTGGTTATAATTTACAACAGAAACAGAAAAGGTAACTAGTGGTAGGAGGGTCTAAAGCTAAACTATAAGATTACATGGTATCTCAGAAAAGTATATTCTTAGTACAGCATGGTGGAATAAACAGTGCTTGTGTTCTTAATTTAACTAAACAGAGTTTATAATTGTTACTGTACTAATAAAGAGGCGGTGCAAAGGCTTGGAAAAAAAGTTATGAAAGACAGTAAATAAAATATTAGCCTGAACAGATTTTTTTATCTGTCTAGGTAAGCAGCAGGTATTTAAAATACTGTGAGCAGTAAAACAATTTGGTTATACAGGTACTTAATTAGGATTGCACATTAAAAATCAGAGTGGCAGTATGAGCAGGGTGGGGCAGTGAATGGTTTGCATTTGGGCAGCAGTCATGCTGTGTGAAAAAGAATTCTTACTTTTGATTCTTCACTACTTTCATATATATATATATATATATATATATATATATATATATATGCACACACACTAGTGCTTACTAATGGCAGCCACCAGCTCGAATGGCTGAAAGACAGACATGAACTTCAGTGTCCATTCCACCTTGATAAAACTCTTGAAGACTTGCTGCTTATGAAGATGTGCAGACATATTAGTAATGATTTAGAGGGCCTCTTGTCTCCACACACATCAAGTAACATCCTGTTATTTCTGCCAAATTTGAAATTAAGATACTGAGGTTTGGGCTTTTTTTGAAAGAAATAAAAGTAGCCAAGATGCCTATGGTTCTTAATTAGACAAACAACTCCCAAGTTATTACACTGGGCAATTATTTGCCCAACAACCACCTGTTAAACACTGCCATTTTATGGACTGAGAAAAGAGTTACACATATGAGTAAATGCTTACAACAAACGAGACCTGTAGTCTAAGGTTCTGGCTTCCATCTGGTTTTGGCCCAAAGACAACAGCAGTTTTGGTGTGTAAGGCCTTCAATAAGGAGGGTGAGGATAAGCAAAACTACAGTAGCTACATCTTCCTATGGCAGAGTACTGGAGAAAGCAATGCAACTTTCTTTCCCCCTTAAACATAGGTGTGTAAATGAAGAAAATGAATACCTTAATTCTTACTTTTCTCATGGGATTCACCTGTTCTTCCAAAGTATTCCAAAAGCTAGAAGGAAAAGGTGCACATATTTACACACCTGGCGTTGTTTTGGACATGGTTCCAAGATGTTTATTTGAACATGTACATTTCAGAATGAAAAATTTATATGCAAGACAATGACCCTCAGTGTATTAAGGAGAAAAAAAACCCACATTAGATGACTCAATTTCTTTTTGAGATTAGGATTAAGTTAAACGACTATACCAAAAGATGTCTTGTGTTAAAATGAGGTTCCGGGAAGAAAAATACCACCTCAGAATTCAGTTGTAAAACAGTACTTTTTTTTTTTTTTTCGGCAGTTCTTAAAGCAAATCCCTTTTTTTAATGATCTCATTCACTACATTTGAGTTTTTGAACAATGGACCCCTTGAGTTTCTGCATCTGTAAGTCACAGAATCTCAACAAGACATGAATGTAAAGCTCAAAGATAGCTTGAGAAAACTGCAAACTAAGTATGTCATATATGTAACGACATTCCTTAACATTTTAAGGTAAAAGGATTGTCAAATTAACATTGCTTCTCATTGCGTACAGTACTTTATCAGAAAACCAAAATTCTATTTGGCATTTGTATTAAGCAGTGGGGGTGCAGAGAGAAGTAATGGAAAATTAAAAATATCTGTATCAGTTATAGTAGTACTGCAGTAGTTACACACTCAAATTAACCTGTACGCTGTAACCACAAGGGAAGACTAACTTCCCCCTATATTTAATAGAGGAAATTTATGGCTATCAATTTTGCCAAGGGGCAATAAGGGAAAACAGGTAAAGCTGCCAGCAAAATATAAATTTAGATTTAGCAAATATGATTTACACCTTAAGCTACAAAATAAATACCTCAATTTCTACTTTTAGATTCAAATGAAAGTTCTGGCAAAAAAAAAAAAGAATCAGTGTCACAAAAACTTCCTGAAAAACTGCAATTGAAAAATAATTCCTTATATGTCACTTACTCATATGTGCATTAATACATGTACAGCATAATTGTAAATATTTTCCTGAAAAAGCAGACTGATTATTGGAAACTTTTTTAAGTCTATGAGTATTCAGATTAATATTTGGATGTCTTTTGGGACATTTCAGATATATACGGCTCATTTTATGCAAAACGGGTAAATGCCTCCAAAAGAAATGCACTTTACATATTAATACTTTACATAAACAGTATACTTCACTGTGAGTCACTTTGGGATAAGAAAAAGCTACCAACATCTACTCTGTGAGCAATAAACAAATTATTTTAGATGCACAGTATACCTAGTGAAATGCTTTTTCATTCAAGTACATCTTTAGATTTTTTTAAAAAGAAATAGCATGACCTATGGTGAAAGTACAATCCTTCACATTGTTGCAATCTGTTCAGAAACTTCATCCTAAAATTAATTTCACTTGTTCAAGGTTGCTAGTACTTACTTTGTTCATCTGGTTTGTATATACAGGTAGTAATTAACGTCAGACTCAAAATTAAGAGGTCAAAAGATCAGGCTCTAAGCTGATAGGAGACTTGAACAAAACATCTGACTGACAGCAGGATATTCTATCATAAGTGCCCCACAAAAGAAGAGGATTGGTGGGGGCTATTTGAAAAAAACCCAGACAAACCAGAACTTTCACCCATCTCCTCCCACACAACCCCTGGTGTGCTCAGGCAACAAGAACTGATCTCTCTGATAATCAACTCGGTTGCTACATACCTACACTGCTGTCAACCGCTGTTACATAGCTTCTCCTCTTTCTGGAGGCAGAAATAGAAGTGCTTTGTTAGGCAAACTTTCAGCTGAGTATGCAGCAATTAATTTCTACTATTAAATTTTATTATAGTAAGTAGTTACATCATAACTATGCAATTTATTGGATTTATTCATTACACTATAGAAACTATCCATGCTACACGTATGTAATTGTCTAGGTTGTCTACATGCTATTGACCAACTGTTAAATACTGGAAGTAAATGTAAAATGTTCAAATCAGCATGGGTGGATTTTGTCTGGGAAGCTACTACTTTTAGTTTCATATTTTCATTTTAAAGACTCCTATACCAAGAAGTTATATAAATGGAAGGACAGGCCTTTAAATAGTTTGTATTATCATGGTCCCATAAAAGCTAGATAAAATTAGACTAAGACCACTGTAAGTTTTGGTTCAAGGTCTTGAATAATTTAAATTTATTTCTAGTTTACTCCCTTTTAAAATAATATCACATTGATAGCACAACAATTTTTTCCCCCCCACCTTTCCCATTTGGTTACATTTGGCAAGCATCAGCTGTTTCAAACAAAAATACAGTCAATGTACCATTTCTCACCCAACAGGCATTAATTTCATTTATGTAAACCTCCTATTTCTACACTGATCTGCCCTCAAACTGCATGAAACATCTACAGCTAACAGACCTTAACACTTATCCAAAGAACATTTTCTTTCATATAAAATGAAAATCCTTATTCAGGAGACTCCAGAACTTGCATGTGTGAACCAGAAGAGTGCACTACTGGGTCAGGCAAAACAAACTGAACATGAAATTTTAATCTTTCATTAAAAATTGGAATGCAACATCTATATTTAAATGATTTTATTAACATAGTCAAGCAGTGATTAACATTCACATCTATTATGTCACATCATACAAATGTAAATACAAAATTACTACAGTACAATATATATTCTCTGCATGATCCAAAATATTTGGTGGCCCCAAAAACTCTTTAAAATTCAGCAGCTTATCAAAAATTAAACCATATTCTATTTAAAATGAAGTTCTGTTAGCACAGAGGCAGACTTCAAGAAAGATCACTCAATTTAGTACAGTTTGAGAGGTTGCAGGAGGATATGTTTTTGAAGGAAACATTCCAACATTGTGGCAGATATAGAAACATCAGATTTAAAGCTTTCAAGCAAAACTCACACAACCTAAGTTGTCAGCAGAAAGATCCAGTCATCTTTGATTTTAAACTACTTTGTATACTGCACCCAATTAAAAAGTTTAGAAGTGTTTAGAATTATTAAGTCAGACAATGTACAACATAACTACCTATCTCTTCCCATGAAAAAAGATACTACAGTGGAGATTTCAACAGCCAAATTGCTTATACCAATCTTTTTTTCTAATCACTGTCCTCGCAAAGAACATCCAGGCCTTCTCAATTCTGTTGCACTCCCAAAGTAAGGAAATAGACATCTAAGGCGAAAGTAGCATAATAGAACGAGCTTACAGAAAAATGACACTATACTGTAAGTGCTGAAATTTTTGAAGATGTGGATTTGGCTTACTTAAAGTACACTGTAACACCACACAGGAATTCATCTGAAAGAGCCATTTTAAATTTCCCTCATGTAAGTACATTCAAGTGAATACGTAACCTTGTTATTTTACCAAATATCTAAGGCAAGCAACAAAAGTACTTGCCTCAGTTTCCCATTTAAAATAATAATCTAAAACTGGCTTGCTCCAACCATCAAGTGCATCCATCATCCAATGCATCCAACCATCAAGTGCAAAGTGACAGACAAAAACCAGTTTCTATTGGAGAATACCTAGAATACTGATGGATGCAAGTCATTCTGGAAAATGCATAGGTGAGTGAAATACACAGCTACTGATCAAGCTTTATTTATTCAAGATGAGGTTATTGGAAATTCTTATGTAATATAAAACAAATATGTATGCAAACTACATCAACATATATCTGAGATTAACTGCAGGATGTTTCGCCATTTCACTGTAGAGCTTAACCTTTATTTAGAAAGTTACTCTTTAGACCCTACATAGAAGCTTTATGCATCTAACATCCTCATGATAGTATTGAAGCAGTTAGTGTTAAGTTGCAACTTCTTCCCTTGACAAAATCTGAAAGAAACCATTTCCCATATAACTTTGCATTTAAAGCATTTTTCAATAAATATTTCAGTTGTTTGAACATGGATGCATTCTCCTCAAGGGAAGAATGTTTTTGCACCTTATCTGTTAATACATTCAATATGAATAAAACAGGTGAAGCAAAAGTCATTATTGTCCCACAGTAGAAGGTTAATTTAGAGTAAGTTTAAGACAGAAGAGCTGCCTAAATGAAATACATAAACTGATAGAACTACGACACATTTGTATTAGCATCTGTTCTGAACAAAAAGGGTACAAGAGTATTCACCTGAGATAAAGCTAGTATTTGAATATTTCTAAGTAGCAATGAGTTTCGCTTGAGGAAAGCCACTTGAAGTCTTAAAATATACTTTTTAATATTATACAATATATGCAGTTTAAGTAATTAAGATTGATGCTAGCACAAAAGTTAACAAAAAAAATCACAGTGTGTATCAATATTGTTAATTACAAAATTTATGCTACTTCATAACTTTTAAAAATTATTATAAATTTTAAACCCATTCTTCTAAAAGTGATCTTTTGAGTACAAGCTTTAAGAAGCAATAAACTAAAGCATAAGAATTAGCTTATTACAGTTTAAATATATACATATGTCACTGATTTAGAAAATAATCATGCTTTGGAAAAAATTTACAAAATTGATTATTTTTGCTTGCAGTGGTTAAAATAATGAACTACTCTAATCTTTTTCCCTAAATGAAACAAGCTGTTTCCCAAATGTGTAATGAAAAACATTTAGTACTGAACTTCACTCAAGACTAATTTAAAAGCAATTTAGAACTGCCAAAAAGATGCATTTATAGGGACTTTAAATACGCTTTCTGTTACCAACTTAGGTTGATCAGCAGCTTTTGTTCACTCTCAGAATCCTTCAAAAAGGGAAACTCAAAATGGGAAAAAGGCATATATAAAAACAGTAAACACTGACCTCCTGAGGTTCCTACAACAAAAATATTCAAGTAGAAAATCTACACCATTACTTAGCAGCGGCTATTTCTGTAGTTTAGCACACTAACAGCACTTTATTCAGTGTGTAAGGAGCAAATGAAGTAAGCCGTGCTTTTAGCATGCCAAGAGGCAGAAACACTGGAATGTAACAAAGACAAACTCACAATTCTACCAGTATAAACATTCAGTCAACATTCAAGGACTGTCAAGACTACACCACAAGAATTAAGATGCTTTTTTATATATCCCATGATGCAATAATTGAATTATAAATGTTAATGGTGATTCAGAACTTTTCTTACCTCACATTATACCCTAACTGGCTTCTGCAAATCTCTGCACTGCATTACGCATTATGAATATAGTTTATTTGCTTTAAAATATACCATGAGAGAACTTACAGACAGAAAGACTGTTTTGTCAGTACTGTTTATTTCTGCCTTATTTATTTTCCTTGCTGTTATACCAGATCAGTTCACATCTGTATAAATACCTATTAAAATACCTATGTACAAAAGTGGCATCCTAAGCTAATCTGAGGTGAGGTGGAATGGTTTTATTTGGATAAAGGGCCTTTCTGAAATTTAAATTTAGTTAAACTCAGATTCTAGCTGCTTTGCTACAGTATTATTTAGGTAGCTTTTCTATTCTACAAATTTTTTAATATTGTTTCTCTGAAACTCTCCCCTAATGTTTAAACATTCTCAAAATTAAAGCAAGTTTGGGTCTAGAGTAGTATCCCACCTTGCAAAATTTTAAAGGTTTAGTTTTTTTTTTTCCTTCCAGAATTTAAAGTGTTTTTAGTTATTATTACTAATTTACCCCAGAGTTATTAGTTAAGAAAGAATTTTGTATTTGCTACCAAAGCAATGTAATTTGAAAGCAAGTTATTGCATGCAATTTTGACCAAATTAAATAAGCACTATGTACTAGCATTACTGAATGTATTTCATCCAGTACATGTTCGAACCGTTCTTCAGGCATAATCCATTAAAATTTGCAAAGCCAAAATAAAAGAGGGTGGAGGGCATGTAAAACGTGCATTCTATCATGCATAAGAAAAATCAAAACTCTTTAAACAGCATTTATAAGTTCACACTCACACAGCTCAAACTTCAGTGCAATGGCTAAATCATTCAACAGTCAAAGAACAGAACCATGCAAAGAAGAGCAAGTTCTTAAAAAGAACTCAACCAAACAAAAATCCCCAAAACTGTTATCCAGTATCCATTCTGCAACGCAAAGGTGAGAAACTAAATCTACAAAAAGGCTGTTATGGCTTAGTTTTGTTTTGCAGATTAATTACGCAGCACTTGAAAAATGGAAAGGTGTGGCTTCTCCTCTGACCAGCAGAGTTAAAAATCTCTCCATTTTCCTTTATCATCATGGGATACTCTTTAGGCAATCTAAATTATTAAATACTTGCCACTTTCAGATGGACACAAGATCAAGTGTACCAGTTAGGATTTCACATTCACAGTACATAAGAAAATACACATGAAAGGAAAAGTAAAGGGTTAACTTAACAAGGATTTATTCACAGGAATACATGTAAGTAGAGAAAAAAAAAACACAACAGAAAAGCTAAACAAATGAAATGAAGAGGATCCAAACCAACTTTCACTCTGTAGCTTTAAACTTGCACCCTTGTGCATTTAACTACATCACAAAGGGCCACCAACATGCGCCGATACAGTGTAGATACCCTGCATTACATCCATTAACTTAAACATCTCTTTAAGATCATGCTTTGAACAAAAAGAAAGCATAGAAGGTAATATGTTGAGTGGGAATAAACACAAATACAGCAATCATGTCATCAACTTCTACAATTGTCTTTACGTGCCAACTAACATTTATGCAGCCTTTAACGGGTCTTACCATGTAACTCATTTTTAAAGATTCTGATAATATCACTAGTATATAACCATGCAGAAAGCACATCACACTGACAGCACAGAGGCAAATATTTTGCACAGCTATATCAGCTTTCCACATTGTGCAGGTTACACACAATACAATATCAATCTTATTCTTAACAGATCCTAGAAAGGTATTTCAAGGCCTAATTGTTTACTACAGTACTTTATATCTATATTATTAGTAAGTTCCACAGAATCTTAAAAAGGAATTTTAAATGCAGGGCTATATTGAATTGGTAAACTGCAACACAAAACTGGCGCAACATAAGTAAATGTATACCAATTTCACTCTATGTGATGCAAGCATGCTACTTTCCCACTAATTTAAATCTGATCACTATGAGCCAGAACGCATGCCTGAACCTTAAACTGCACGTTAAGAATAATGCCTTACTCTAGAAATTAAATCTAATTAAGTACAATAATCAAATCATATCCACTACTTTAACTCTTTTTTTAATGTAGAAATTAAGATGTCAATCTTTCCTTTAAAGTGTCCCTCCCCTCGCCCCAAAATTAAAGGAGTGACTCACTTGTCAGCTTGCAGGTTGCTTCCTTTTGTCCAAATTAACCTTTATTAATTTATGATAGGGTTTCTATATTATGCACTGCAAGTGCCTGCTCCTAGACACAAGCTGCATTTCAACTGTACTAACTTCATTTGTGTAGTTCTTCATTAACATGCAAATACTCAGGAATCCCATCAAGCAGGATGAAATAATGTAGAAAACCCTTACTTAAAAAAAAACATAAAAGAAAAAAGAAAGCCTTTTACTCTTTGTAACCCCTATTCTTAGGTTTCCTTTATTGTGCGCAAAGTAGTTTTCCTCTTTACGTACCCCTATGGTTCAATTAAATGGTTCTTATTTTGGTACAATTCCCCACAATATTCCAGAATGTGCTGTTTTGTGACTAGATTCTTTTGGTTTTTTTCTTTTTTTTTTTTTTTTTCTTCTTCACATCCAGTGCAGAGTTGTAATAGGAGACAGATTTCCACCCACAAAGGCTCCAGATGTTAAAACATTTCCCAACATCGACTTAATACAGTGACGGCAACACCTCCCTCCCGCCCCTCCCAGTAGGGTTGGGATTGTACTGTATTCCCTACTGGTTTACCCTTCCCCCCAGTAAAGGGTAACATTTTCCCTGGGTGCAGAGGCTCCCTCATAGTCTCCCAGACTGAAGGACCTGTAAAAGAAAAAGATAAATGTATAATTAAAGCTTACCTCGAACTTAACTGACAGATCTGTGTATAAACAAAGAGTTTTTTGTTGTGGGTTTTTTTTTTTTTTTTCTCCTTTTTTAAGCAGTAGGTGCCAGCCCTTAACTTAAAAACTAATTTACGCCTAGATTTTCCCTTTTAAGTCTGTAAAGAAAACAGCCTGTTTATATGGGTAAATGATTAGTCATGAAACAATTCTGTATGCTTTAAAGCTACACTGACAGTTCCGAGTGGCTAAGCTTAGATTTAAGATAAAAGCAGTCCTATCTATTCTAACAAGCTTTTCTATTTTTAGCATAAAATTATGATGAAGTTATGACATTGAGAAAGAATACTAAACTTACCTGATACTGACCTAACAACTTCACTTTTAGGTGGTTTAAATGAGACAGTCATAGTGCCTTCTCAGTTCAAATTGAGAATAACGGTGAAATTTATCACTTTATATTCCTCTTCATTAGAAGGTGAAAACACCCTTCTGTCAGAACTAAAAGGCCCTCATTGATAAACATGTAAATGTTTGAAATTGGTTTCTTTTTAATCCACTGTTCAGTTCAAACATGTAATTCAAAGAGGACTTTGAAAAATCTTAGACTGACTTTTTAAGTAGTTGTCCACTCAACAATAAAACAGAATGGCATGATTCACTCCCATAGTTTTGGTACAAAAAATTCTACAGCAAGTACCAAATTTATATAAAGACTGAATGAATAGGGTAGTATAATAATCTCTTCACAGTGACACATTACTTCACACATGGGAAATTTGCTTTATACAGTGTGCACAGGTAGCAGACAAAGCAAAGTGGTATAACAATGTTTATATAACAAATTCTAGAATGCACTATCACTGTTCTTTGCTGAAGTTGAATCACTCTCCACACAGAACTGCAATAATTCTGAATTGGTGCACAAAATGCTACATGGCAATAATAAACATATTTGCCTGCCCAAAACATCAAGTTTACAGTTACAGTAGTTACAGATTAGCATAATATCCTTTATTCAGTGCAAAGATGTGGTTAGGAGTATATTGGATTTACGGCTAAAGTGTGTTAACAAGCTTGCTTTCTTAACCTAGAGGAATATTCTCACCTAGACCACATCTGCCATCTACAAGCCTATGTCTTTAGTATGATGATTCGAGGATCATATTTATCACATTGCTTATTAAACTTGAATTGGCACTTTGTTATCCCTACACTTCCAAGTTTTATCTTGACACACTACTGTGCATATTAAACAGTCACTCTTTCTTTCTTTCTCTCTGTAAAAATAAAATAACAGAGTCAGACAACTGTTTTTGCTGCAGATACCATCATCTAGGTATATTATCATACCTGGTTTTTATCCTTTCTTATAGGAAGGAGATACTTCATCCAGCATACATAAAAAGTTCTAGTCTGATGAATTAATTGTTTCATATAATGCAAACAGGGAGGAAGTCTGTTATACAGCTCTGTTTAGCAAGGAAGATTTGCGTGCTTACCTCCAATTATGGGATTGCAGCTACAGTGCATGAGGTTAAACTCCATAGTAAGCTGCAAGGCGCTCTTTTAAGGGAAGGGGAAACTGGTCAGAAAAACGCCTCCAATTCTCATCCCCAACTTGATTTTTAAATCCATGAAGAATCTACGAACAAGAGGAGGGAAGTCAAGATAATTACTAAATACAGGATACATTATTTACTACCATCATTTGCAGTAAGCCACAAACTGCTGGACTGTACCATCTGTCCACCTGAATTCTCCAATACTGAATGCTACTTAGAAACAAAGGAAATCTAATGTAATGTCTTTCTCAATTGATTTTTTTTCTTTTAAGGGTGACGTACAGAATATACACAAATTAGTGTATATGTATCTGTACTTTTAATGAGTAAGGTGACTTACAACCTAGAGTTAGTCCATTTCAGAATGCTAAACATTTTATCAGTTGACAGTTTATATATGTTAAGATTACCATATTCACATTTCTTTTTTTAAATGCATAATATGCTGTGAGAAGAAAACAGAGCCAAAGCTGCAGCCAGCATTTGACAGAATGAATACCTGTCCATTTCTAGCACAAATAGCTCTAGTGTTTTAAACTAAACCAAAAAAAAACCCAAAACCCAACCCCACCACACACTATACAGTCCATTTTTTTCCCATTGTTCCTGAAAGGCATAATTATTGTTGGAAACAACATCTAGCTGGACTACAGCAATCATATATTCATGAGGAACTAATCTAAAAACCATGCATGACATCACTTGAAGAAAGCTTTGTCTCCTTTCTTGCATGGCAAAGACCACAAAAGAATAAGCTTCAAAAAGCAAGGGTGTCCTTATGCCAAGAACCATTTGTCTAGTTTGAATGCATTAGATTCCACATGGATAACTTGGAAATAATCTGAAAAAGAGGAGCCTAACTTACTGAAGCAAGTATTCAAATGCTGAAGGACCAGTGCAGAAACATGCACTGAGACTGCCCTGGACAATCATCAGACACCATCCTGGACTTTGTTTTAAGCTTTTAAGTATTTGCTGTTCCCTTCCGTTGACACAAGACTAATCACAGCTGTGCATTTTCTGGATGTGATGTTCCTTTGAAGGAGACCAGTTATCTGACAAACTAACTAGGACAGTAAGATATTGGCTCTTAAAGATGGTATAATAAATTTCTACCTTCTGATGCTCATCATGGCATTACATGAAGAAGTGCCAATACTGATCCATGATCCTAGTAAGTACTTAGGAATATGCTCAATTTTTGCTTTGAGAGCAGTTATGAACTTTTGACACACATCCTTCCTAAAAACAGAGACTTCACTTTACAACTTATGAGGGGAGCCACATTACTTAATAGTAAAACAACATCCGCTCATGAAATGGAAATGTTTTGGTTGTTGTTTTTTTTTTTTTTTTAAATCTAACACACTCCATTCTGGGTGGAGTTTCTGTGCTTATTTTACACAAGGCAAACAGTCCTTTCCCTTAAATTCTATTGACATTTTGTCTAGGGATGTATTATTGGGTATAACTGTATGTTAATTTCTTGAAACTTGCTCATCCAAGAAGGATTTTGAGGAAGATTAAGCAATCCCGAAAACTTATTAGGACACCACTGGAATATTTTTCATTTGCAATTTTCTAGATACTTCTCCAAAATAAAGTAGGCATCTTTGAGGAAAAAAAGTCTTAAGCTGTACAAATCTCATTTTCTAGAAAAACATCTTGAAATGTGGTACAAAACCCCTGTTCTTCCAAATGCAGGCAACATATAGTAAGCTGGACATTATGGAAAGCTCTTTGAGGATGATCATCTGTTCAAGTAAGATCTCAAGTGAATTTTTCAACACTGTTAAAAAAGTTTGGAATAACACAAATGCATATAAGAAAATATAGGTTAAAAAAGTCAGGATTTTTATGTTATTTTTTTCTGAATACTTATGACCCTCCATGACCAAACACATTAAATGCTAACAGTGGAAATAGAAAGCAAGTAAAAAACCCAGAGGGCCCAAAACAACCAACATTAGTGTTGTATTAGAAACCTTACCTTACAGAACATGTCTCGGAGATCATCTTTTGGGCTAATCCACGATGCAACAGCATCACAAAAAAAAATAAAGTCCTATAAGATTAAACAATTGCATAGGTTAGAAATCTCAATTTAAAAATCTGAAAACAATGCCTGATGTTCATTCTATGAACTATTCAGGGTCTTTGATCCTATTTCACAACTGGTCTTACTTTTATGTATTTAACCAGTCGATTCAGACAGTAATAATGTTGTTACATGCCTAAGTGTTCAGAAATAGAAATAGCTGTGTAGGAATAGCTTTGTTTCATCAGGTTTTTGATTAAGTAAAACTAGAGTTTAAAAGTAACCAACTCGCTCCTCCCACACCACACTTGTCTAATGTTAATTCTTCTTGTACACATACCAAGCTCAAGGACCAATCACCTTAATAACAACCAACAAACTCAAGACCACAGTTGGAACATTCACACTCTCATGCATTTCCAGGTGGGGAAAAAAGCTCTTGTATTTCTCTAAGCAGAGCCAGAATTTTTTTCTGGGACACAGAATGCTTATCATTCAGGTTCAAAACTAAAGCTACACCAAAACCCCTGTATTTCGTCCATCTGTTGTGATGCGTACCTTCTACTACACTATTAAAACACCAGTCTTTAATCATTAAGTTGATAATGCATGTGTTTTTGGGTAGGAACAGAGGATAACTACAGCAAAGGCAAGCTGGGATAATGAAAAGCATCCTTAATTATCTCCTCCCCTTAAACAATGTGAAAGAACAAATGGACAACAGAAGAGGGAAATGCTAAGTATAGAATAAGGCATAAGTGAAATGATCTGACAATTTCAAAACAAGGTCAAGGCTCAATTCTTGTGTTTCAGGAAGAGTAATTCCTGAAAGGGAGGGAAAAGTCAACCTTCATTTTTCTCTTAGAAAATATTACATCTTCAGCTTCACTTTGGAGGTGTGGAGACTAAAAAGCAATATTCTATTCCTCAGATATACCATTTACTTTAAAGAGATGCATGTTCCTTGTCACATACTGACTATTTAAGCAATATATCCAAAGCTGAAACAGAATTTTCCAAGTTTTAAGAATGAAGGGGTGGTTACTCATTTTTTTCCTGTTTCTTGTTTTAAAAGCCTAGGTTACATTTGGAAAACAGGTTTAAGTAGCTTTTGCCTTGTACCTTCATACAGATCCTGACCGCAATCTGACAGAAGTATCAAAATAGTTATTTTAATCAAAGTTCATTATATACACATACTTTGTAAGTAAAAGACAAAACCTGAATTTAACAATGCTCTTCTCCTTTCCTTTGCTAGGTGGTAATTATTGAAGCATCACGATAGGCATCATTTGCAATATAGACATTTTGGCCTCCTTGACCTCAAAGTAAAGCTACATAATGTAACAGAGGTAATCATATTAAGCTAAACTTCTTCATAGTCCATATACAGCTTTCACTAAATTTCACATGAATAACCAAAGTAAGTTAAAATCTATTCACATATCTTACTTGGACTACTCCACTGGGATTGACCGAGATCATGGTACATATCCCACGGAATGCTGAATCCTTTTCCTCATTGTCTCTTATGTTTCGCAGAGAAGTGCACCTAGCAAGTTGGGAGAGCAAAACTTAGCAAACTATTACATTTTCTTCAATCAAGTCAGAACTAGATGGCAGTATTTGATGGAATAAGTCACACTGATAAGATCATTTGAAACACTATTTTGAACACTTAGAAAAACACTTGTCTTTACTAGCATATTCCCATTAGGCATCGTCTCCAGAATCTTGTTCTCCTGTTGCACTATATACGCTCAGAAAGTGTGACCTGTATTCCATTAAATACAGATGAAACATATATCTGAAATATTTATAGAAACTATCATTATTAGAAGCAGAACATGTAATACTATCACAGTATGAATTAAGTCAGATACCACTTACAGAACAGTTATTTAACTTTTACAGCAGCAAGCAAGCTATTTTATACATAACAAATCTATAAACATATATTCCTTACAGCAATTCAAGCCTCAGACTGAATTTTAAGTAAAGTAATGCACGGTTTAAATTTTACAGTATTTGCATGCATTGTATTATCATTCTGGTGGATTTTAAAATGCTCTTTCATAGTCAAGCTTTAACACAGCAAGCATGTGACAATCTTATCCCATGCATAAATTAGTCGTTAGCCACAACATAAAGAATACATGACGGTGCTACTAAAAACTCACAAACCTGATAGGACAAGATTAGTCACATGGTTGGCAATGATTAAGGATTGAGATTTTGTAACCAACTGAAAATATATCTAAAAGTGAGATAGAGAGAAGAAAGAAAGAAAGAGAGTGAAGAAAAATGAATTAAAAAAAAAGATTGAATAATACACACCAGGGTCTTATAAACTGCTGTAGCATGGGGGCCACCTCTTGAGGACAAACGTAACCAAGACGACCAATTGTTATTGCTAAGGTAACGCAATCACGGTTATACACCACCAAACGCCAACCAAGACATGAGCAAATGAGGGGGGAGGAGAAAAAATAAAGAAAAAACAACAAATAACTCAGAAACAGAAACCAACAGAATCCGTGTATGATAATAAACATAAGATTTCACCAGTGCTGTTTATTACCACCCCCTAAATAAGAGGCAGCAACATATATGGTATACTCTCCAGGGTAAAAGAAAAATTAAAGTAAATGAGAGAACACCAAAAACACGATTTAAAATCCAAAGTTTTTCTGATATAAGCAGTCATTCTGCCCTCTTCAGAGGAATCTCTTACAGTAGATTTACCTACCATACATTTTGAAGTTTTTATTCAAATGTACTATTATGGATACTCTTGATAAAAAGCAATTAATAATTTTCAGTTTTAGTATGAAGTATTCAAAAAACTTTAATTTTTTAAAATTTAGAATTCAAGATTTTAATTTACCTGCTCTATCAGTAAAAATACACTTATACATACTTTTACATAGAAAATACTGTAGTCTACCTAAATGTGCTAAGCAGATGAAACTTCTCAAAGAGCACCAAATATCTGTCAACTTCATAATCTCATAGAGAATTTAAAGTGGTTCCTAAATCACAGTAACTGACTGCAGAAAATCAATTATTTAATCCCAATATTTCTCCTGTTCACAAAAGGCTCCCTCATAGAAGTCATGTAAAAATCTGACTTCTGATACCAAGGCATAAGGACACATGAAATGCAAGTTGCTTCATCACATGATTAGGTAGTTTGGTCCTTTGTTCTGAGGGACAGACTGAAGAAAATATCATCATGCAAATGTGTTTTAATGGTGTTTGCTCAACTCACGAAAGATTAATCTTTAGAAAAAGGAGAGGGTGGGGAATAATGTATCAGGATTACTTGAAGCAAAATACATGAATAATACTAAAATCCAGCAGATTTATATGAAGCAGAGAAAGGAAACCTATGTTCAAGGGACATACTATGCAACACTCTAATTAACAGGCATTTGTGAACAGTTTCATGAAACATGCAATAAAGCAGATGATGCTTTTTCCAATTAAAGTTTGGTGTAGGATATACTAGTAGTTTAAAACATACTAATTCCATGAAAGTTGAAGTTCACTGTTAATGTACTGTTTCACCCTGATGTTACTCAACTGCAGTATGCAGTGCCTAAAATTTTCAGCAGTCTAACTTATAAAACTGCATTGGAAGTGCTACTTTCAAACAAAAATACACTTTTATCTGCAAATTTTCACAGCTACAGTCTGTACAAGGAATAGTAATCTCTGTCAAAGCTCAACTTTCTGGCATGTACTGGTTATTTTTTATGCAATTACTTAGGGTGGTCTCATGTTTCCACAGAAGTGTTTTCATAGCTCATTACATAGCAAGCTAAAGCAAAAAGTAATATTCTTGCTCATACTAGTGGCATGCAGCACAATATCCTACAACAAACTTATAAGTACACCACACTCAACATTTATTTGCAGTTATGCATCCACATTTAAAGTAACTATTAAGAGAATTAAAAAGAAGTCAGTGTTTGGATGCTTCCAAAAGTTCTCTAACAATGATGGAAGCAAACATTTATGTACTGGATGTCTCTCAGTTACAGGTATTACACATCCATCAGTGCAGAGGAAGGGGATCAGGCAGGGGTGGAGGGAAAGAAAATTTATATTGCTGTACTATTACATGGTATATTTCACAAGAAGGTATTTGCTCCAAAATTCTCTTTTCAAAGAGTAGTACTGATAATATGCCAGACAACTAGGTAATTTTTCCTTCAAGTTCACCTTCCATACTAAATGTAGGTAGGGGGCAGGTAGCAATGAAAGTGCAGCTTTTAAGTTTAGAGAATACCAGAGGGAAAATATGCATTGATAACTGCTCTCCCATTTTTCTCTTGCTTAACTCAAAAATGTAACTGTATCACTGAATTTGCATAATTTTCAATCATGTCAGGTATAAAGACTAAACTGTAATTTTCTTAGAAGATAGTTAGTTTTCAAACAGAAAAAAAAAAGATTCTCAATTAGTAAAATAGTAAGCCTGTCAAATTATTAATAAAGTTTTGCTGAAGTATGGAAGGTGCTCTTCAATACCAGAACATGCCCTCTATAAATGCAAAAGAAACAAGCCTCAGAAATTCTGATTCAGTATGGCATTTGGGGATTGCTCCTAATTTGGAAGGCAAAGCTGTAGGCCAGAACACAAAAACATGCATGTCGCTATTTGAATTCTTTTGAGAAATCTGTTATTAGGTACTTATATTAAGGTAATTTAAGTTAAACATAATTTCATTTATATACATTTATGTGGTGGTATAACTGCCATCACAGATCTAGATTTTTGTGAATGATATTACAAATTTATCTTAGTGGGTTTTGTAAATTCAAATAATTATTTGTTTTATAAATGCCAATTACATTTGTTTCAAACACTAGACATATATATACAGCACACGTGTAAGGACATGCATTTATTAAAATCAGTCTGAACTAAGTCTTTTAAGTGTTACTGCATACATTTGTCATATTCAATACATAAATAAAATTAGAATATTTAATTAAACAGATGATAATAAATATTATAAAAAAGAGAAAGCAATAATTTTAAGAATCTAGATATATGATAGATGGTTTGCTGCAAGACTGAGACTTGTAAGAGCTTCTGCAAAACAGAGTTGCTTTTGCTCATAAAAGCCAAATACACAGCAATAAAATCAGTTCTGGTGTGGTTCCCCTATTCAATTTTAAAATAATTATAAAAAGATTCTCTAATTCCTTTCACCATGTATGGTTCAGTTTTTGGGTACCTGTGTTCTCTAACAACGTCTTTGGTGTGTTGGGTCTGTTAATTATTTCTACAAGCTGGTGCAACACCATTGGAATATAAGGCTGCATCTCTATACCTGGAACAGCCAAAAAAAAATAAAAGATTCAGAAGAAAAAGACCATTAATATACATAATCTAAACAGATTGGGTACATTGAACTTACTACCAAGGACAAGAATCTCAAATTTAATTTCATTTTTAACATGAAAGTATCACTAAAAACACCCCCAAAACCACACAGACAAACCACACTAAGTATGCAGAGATTAAAAGAAAAAATTAAATCTTACCCATCTGGATGGAGATTTCTCCAATTGCCCAGGTGGCATTGTTACACACAGAAATGAACTCAGGGTTTAGGTTGGTTCCCAAAATTGGCATGAAATCAGCTAGAAAGAACAACATTTTAAAATTTCATCACAAAATATAACCATCTTGTCCCATTATTATAAGATCATGGGAAAAAAAGTGTCTTTAAAGAAATAATCACATCAGCCTATCGAAATGCTTGGAAAGTGTTACACATAAATTAACAATAGCTATATTTCCACTATATATAAGATTAATCTGTATTTTAGAAACTAAGCAGATGAGTGCAAATATTCTCAAATTATGATTTTAAAATGTTTCTAATAGGCTTTATCTTTAAGTAACTCTAGAAACCCTCTTTCTCCCCCTTCTTTGCTAGGGTGGGGGGAGAGAGGTTAAGAAAGGAGAAGAAAAAAACCACAGCAACAAGTACTTGTAGTTTTATAATACAGTCAAACAACCCTGAAATCATCTGGATAGCTATGTATTCAGCTATGCTTCAAAAAACAATGAAGCCTAGAAGGCAATCACATCTTGGATTAAATTTTAAGAAAAAATTAGTCACAAAGATAATTATAACATCTGCCAAATTTTAAATTCCAAGCCCACCCAAGCGTTCATTTAGCAAGTGTATCTCTAGAAAGAGACAGCAAATATGGAAGTGTGTAACTGATGCTACTTTCCTACTGAAATTAAAAAGAGAAAAAAACCACCCCAAATCATACCTTCTAGCCAAGTTTTCTAATTTCAGCATTTCAATATGCAACTTTATCTAACAATAAATTCAAGAATGACAAAAAAGCTATAAAACCAAGAATTCATCAAAGCAAGCGACTGAAGTCTAAGTAAATCTCTTCTGCTGTATTCCACCACAACAGGTAGTTTGTTACATTATAAAATCAAGGTCAAAAATGAACTTTTGCACTGTCTACAAAAATAAGAACACATCTTTTAAACACAGAATGCAAAGGAGAAAAGACTACAGGCCCTTGCTGATGAAAAATGAAAACTCACAACACCATGAAAAGGCAACTCACAGAACAGGGAGTTTAACAATGGTTAAATGAGCCTCTTACCAGTTTGTAAAACAAAGTTAATTGTTTAATCTGTAAAAGAAACATACCGATGCAAGGCTTAACATGCTGAAAACAGGCCTTTGTCAGATCACCTAACAACGCAAAAGAACTCTGCCGTACCTCGGGCATTTTATCCTAAAGAGAGGAAGAAAAATATTACAATTCTACAAGTGTTTCTGATTCTTTGAAGAACGAAAATACTTGCATCAAACAGGTTACTCATCTCACCTGCATGCATTGGTACATTAGTGTCAGGATATTGCTGCGAGCCACTAGCTGTTCAATGTTGCCTCCAAGTCCTTCAGCTAAACCACTGAGTAAATCAAGAGCCACAATCATGAAATCTTTATCTGGAGCCTCATATTGGTCTGGTTGAGCATTATGCAACTGCAACAAACAAGTACATGTTTTCGAGATGGGTATTATATTTTCTCAAGGGTATGCATTAAAGAAAAAGTTTCAGAACTGCAGCTTTATTTACATATTCAATGGTTACACTACAAATCTCCCTGAAAACCACTAACTTTACATAGTTAATACACTGGTTTAAGGAGAAACTCTGAAAACAGTGGAATAAAATAGAAACATACCATGGCTTGTGCAAGGGTCTTCTGCACCAGATTTACACAACGCTGGTACACAGGTTCACAGTATGGAAGAAAGCCAGATTGCAAGGCAGTAGCAACTGACGACAGGCACTAGAATTAAAAAAACAAAACAAAACAAATAAAACCCCACCAAACAAACAACAGAGAGAAAACAGTCACTACCTGTCCTCACATCTCTCAACTGGCTTTTGGCTGGGAGAGGCAAGTTAAAACATATCAGCATTTTACGCATACCCACATGTTACTGAATAAGTAAACACTACCCAGAAAGGCAGTACTAATTAGTTGAGCCAAGGCAACAATCTGAGTGTTGTTACTCTCTCCCACATATGGCAGTTGAAAATATTCATTAGCAGCAGTATCTTCTTAGAGATAGCCAAGCAACCACATACAAAAGCAGTTATGATAATTCAGCCAGCACTAAGCTTCAGTATCTTGACCATGTACAAGCCCTAACATTACTTAAAAGTAACGAAACTAATTTTTCTAGTGATGCTTTCCTGCTTTACACTTCAAAAGTACAGAGAATAGACTACATGATCTGGTTCATACCTTCAGCTTATCTGACAATAGTTTTAATGGATGGATGAAGGGAGAGCAAGGGGAAGAAGAATAGAAGGATGGAACAATTTCCCACCCCACTATAAATAGACCAAATTTCAATAACCATAAGATGCACACATGACATGTATTCATATTCTATGAAGTAATATATGTACACCAAAACCACTCCACTATACTTGCTGGTGTTATATCTGTACTTTGTCCAAAGGATTATGTGCTTTAATATATAAAATGAATGCCTGTCTCAATTTCTGATAAAGCAATTTCTAGCAATAATGTGCTCCAATACACTGGAAAGAGACACACACAGCAGCTTAGCTATACTTCAAGTGATTATTAAAAAAAGCGTGGTTATTAGAAATTAAAACACACATTCCACCAATTTCTATGAAGTCCCATTTCATGTCTATACTGATATATGTATTTCCTCTGAGCTGAAAAATTTTGAAAAAAAAAAAATCACAATGAGAAGCACATTTCACAAGCCACAACACACAATCATTTATTCAAGATAGCAAATATTCATGTCGTGGGAAAATTATATGCAGTCTATGTATGTTACCTGTAAATATTTAGTATTTTCAAAACTTGCACAGAAGTATCAGCCTTTCTGTTTTATAACATATAAAGCGGAAATACAAAACATTGAACCAGTTTTCCAGCTATGATGAGTGCTTGTACAAAACATAAGGTATACTCACTGGTTTATTTAGATGATGTCCTACAGAATCTGCTAGAGTTCCTATAGCATCATAAAGAATGAGCAGGTTTTTATGCTGGTATTTACTAAACGCGAAGACCAAAGTGTCAAGTATATACGCAAGATAAGGAACAAGCTCTGTACAAGCTTCCTCTTCCAGAGTAGCAAAGGCACTGATGGGACAAAAAAAACAGGTCAGTATCTTGGAAAAAACAAAACAAGACAATCCCAAAATGCCCCAGACTATGCATTTCTGCTTAAACATAAAACTCTAATTAGTCCTCAAGTTCATCCAAGATATGTTTTCAAAATGGTATTACTGAGAACCTCAGTCTATTCTGACTGAGCACAGAAGATTCAGCTCTTACATTGTGGTGAACAAAACTTAGAAAATATTGTCATAAACTCCTTTATGTATATGCAGGAAACCCCCACTGAGAAAAGCATTACTGTACATAAGTTACAATATACTAACTGAAGTAGCAGAAATCATAACAAAAGCTGTTTACTTAAGGTAAAAAGGCCCACTGTCTTTAACATGCTGTAGCAGCACCTAGAAGACAGAGCTGTTGTGCTAGTACAACACCAAACTCAGCCTGTATGCTCAGCAGTTCAGCAGATAGAAAAACAGATACAGAAAGACAGAGAAAACTAAAAGCAAAGACAGGGCATAAACAATTTCAGCCAGCCTTGGTCAAATCACGTATCACAGCATTGTGGAAACTCTTCAGGTTGTCTGTCAGCAAGGTGCTGACACACAGTTTGAACAGCAGCATTAAAACCAACCCACAACAAAGAAAAAAAACCCAATGCACCAGACATGCTGCTTCAGAGAAACATTAAGGAAAAAATTATGAATTACTGAGGATTTACTGGTCTAGCTTATGCCAACAAGATTATTATTAGCCTGTCCTTGCACTAAAAATACATGCATCACAGCATGAGATGAATTATCTCCTAGCATACTACGAGAACCAGAAATGCCTTTTTAACACAATACAACTGTAACCACTAAATGGCTAGCATTCTTATTTTATTCATTTATTACTTTATCATATTGTTCTGAAGTATTCTTTCAGAAAGGCATATGATGTGAGCAGGAAAACACATTTCAGTAAAGTACCTTTTTGGGTGTCACCAACTAAAGACGCAGTTTCTCAACAGTACAGAAATGAACGTTAGATATCTGCTATGATACAGAATTTAGTCATGAAAACATACAGTTCCTATGACCGATTTTCAATTTGGTAGACTTAAACAAAATGTGCAACTGTAGGGATGCAGCTTTTTGCTCCTCTCCAAGAAGGATCATCACATTTCCTTGCGATTCAGAAAGATATGAAGTATGTTTTCAATTGTGACCGCTCTAAATTTTCCTTAAAGTGGAGTTTCCTAGACAGTTTATTTCTTTAGCTGCAACAGTAATTTTAATGAATATCTGCCCTAAAGAAAGCATTTCAAAACACACTACAAATTTGATATTGAACTTTAAATAGAAGAAAAATCAGTTGTAATTTTTTAGTATTTCCATTTTAACTTTCTTATTACTTTAAGAGTTTTCACTGCTCACTGCATTTCCTTCGTAAGCCCCACAGGAGGTTATTAAATAACTGCAACATAGCTGTGTTCAACTACACACATATTTCAATCATGTTTTGTACAAGGAAAGTATGAAGTGTGGGGTTTTTGTCTGTTAGTGGGGGCTTTTTTGTTTGTGGAGTTGGGGTTTTTTTTGGTTGTTGTTTTTAATTGAATTTGCACATAATCAGATTCCTTGGATCTAGAAATGTGGGAAACAATAGCGTACAATAGAAGACTACCATTATGAAAAGACAGAATGAAGCAGATGTTAAAGCCCAACAAATTTGCAAGCCCAGTGTCTGAAAAGGTTTAGAGACAAAGAGGAAACTGTTTAATACTCAAATCTTACCAAGTATATTTAATTAAATTCATTGTATCTGTTCTCAGGCAATGATACATCTATCTCTTTTGTGCAAAGCTTAGCACAACATCTTTGACTTTAACCATGTCCTTAGGCACTACTGGTATTTGTGGGTGGGGTGTAATAATAATAGCAGTAGTAGTTACCACAACGCTACTACTTTTAAAAAACTGTATGTTTCAAGTGTTAAGAATACAACCAGATACATATCTAACTCTACTTTACCAAGAAACCTCCTTGGCAGTCTACCATGTACACTCCCGCCCCACACAAACTGACATGTAAAAGCTTTATTTGATGAGTTTCCTGCACAAGAGGTGCACTCATTCCATTAGTGTTCTGTCCATTAAAGGAGCCTTTTTTTTTTTTTTATATATTAGCAGACAAGTGGGAGAAAGGAATCTTATCTCCCAGGATCTCCCTTCAAGAGAATATCCCTTGAAATAATCGTAAGCCAAATGTTTTGGTAACCCTGAACTAAATATGTTAGTATAATGTTAGTATAACCTTCCATTGCAATCAGTACTGATTTTATTTTAAAAAAGCCAGATTTCTGGTCAATGAAATATCACGTTGAAAATAAACACGTTTCACAAACAGATTATTTCTTTTACTACAACAAATTATTTAGTTTGGTGACTCATATACACTGAGAACAAACCGGACAGGAGAAATACAAATTAACTTTAATATTACTACAACTTGGAGTAATTTGTTACTACTCTAGAAGAAGCTGCATCTACTCTAATTTAAAAGAGAAAAATACATTAAGAGCTATAAATGGACTCACGCATTCACTGATAAAGGCATTAAAATAGTTTCCCATGGAAAAAAAGTAGTGTCACAGATAGTGCTTTGTGCCTAAGTTTTGGCTTACCTGCAGGCAGCTTCTTGTACTCTCTTGTTGCTATCCAGGATACGCTTTAGCAACTCAGTCATTAATGGCTTCAAGTATGTGTCTGGGGGTTGACTAACTACCCAGTGTGCATAGCGACTAAGAGTCCAGCATGTAATGGAGCGCACAAGAGCCTTTTTGTCGGAGAGGCACTGAATAAGGTGAGGGATCAGCTCAGGAAGATATGGAATCATACCCTGCATGCAGCCTAGAAGGCAAAAAATAGCTATTGCAGTACCAGAATTAACAAAAACTTCTATTGTTTTCTGTTTCCTAGAAGGGACATTTTCATTATCACACAGGAATACATTTCAACAATATACAAACTGTACCTAATTAATATAAAGTCCTAAAAAGAAACCTTACATAAACAATAACTTAAATCCCCAACTAAACTTACATTAATTTCAACTACACTTCTACTTCAGTGTTTCCGTAATCTCAGAACTTCTGTTTTACTAAATGGAGTATGACAAGTACATCCTAATAACGTGAATTTATAAAGCTTGGAGATCCTACATCAGTCTCCTCAGAGTAACCAAGACCACAAGAAGAGAAAGACTCAGTCTTGACAACAAATCACCACACTATTAGAAAGGAATACTTCAGAAATTAAATTTTGTCTTGTTTTTCTTAGTATCATAGAAATACTGACCAGCTATAAAAACTAGACGTTTCAAGTCAGCAAGGGCAATAATACAGGGAGATCTGTGAGAAGTACTAACTTTCAACTGGCTTGACTTGAAATCCAAACCAAAATTTTCCTAGTAAAAAAGAAAAAATTATGTTCACTAGGCACTGAGGAAAAAGGAAAGTAGTCCACGCATGGACCAAGATGTGTTCCTTCAGCTTGCAAAAGGGACAGAGATGCTGGAAATGCAGGCAAAAAGCCAAGCAAGACTAAGTGCAAAGTAACAGAGTTATCATACTTAAATTGGAGAACCATCCACAAAAAACAGCTCAGGGCACTGAAGTCACTGGAATGGTCTTCTCCATTTCTGAAAAACTTCAGTGAAATATAAGGCCCAAATTTATTAAATTTTCCTCTTCCATAAAATCACTGTAATTTTTAATGAGACACCAATAAATACATGCTGCAGAGTTAAGAAAGGGAGAAGCAAAAGCAATTATCTAAGACATTTAGCTTCCCAAACATGGATTTGAAAATGAAAGCTTAAATAAACTGAAATCACCAATTAGTAGATGTAGACATTAACCACCAAAATCAAATCAGATAATGACATTACTTTTTGTAAAGTAAGTAAATTCACCAGGAAGGAATCACAGAGCCACTTTGGAACCAATCAAAAGTTCAGCAACCTAATATGCACTGTTGTCTTACCTTCAGCAATTGCTCCAAGAACAAGGATACCAGATTCTTTAACTACCCATTCAGGATGGAAAAGCAATTCCTTCAAAAGAGGCAAGATGTGTGGCAGAAGTTCATCACGAAATACATTGGCTAGGACATCTAGAGCAGCAGCAGAACATTTCCCTGAGGGGAATTAACAGTGTTAATCTCGGGTTTATTACACAAGTAGTTGTAGTTAGGCAATATAATCCTCATTTTAACTTTGAGCTGCCAGTGGAGTCTCAAGGCATTAAGAGGAAAGATACTTCCATTTCACTGCAATACACAGTGATCCACTGTGCTCTGGTGCAAAGCCACAGCTCTCAGAAAGCCAGTTTTGCAGCTCTTAAATAGCCACTGAAAGGACATATACATTGAGGGTATTAAAACATTCACTGACAGGAACAATACCATTATATTGCAACATTATATAAACTACATGCTTTCAGGATGGTGTAACACTAAGGGAGAGGGAACATCTGTGACATAACTGTAACAAACTAAGGAGAATGGAGAAATGACCTAAAAATACTAGCATTTGATTAAAAAAAAAAAAAAAAAAAAAGACAAAACCATCCAATTCTGGAGACTGGAAGAAACTTGCTGGCCTCTGCTCTGATTCTGTGATGCACCAATATGATACACCTCAAAATTTCTTTTAAAGTGTTAATCCCATGTTTTTAGCAAACAGAAGCTCATGAAAGAAAAATCAGGAACTACTTCAAAACAGGATTCAGAATCCTTACTGTTTTACTACTGTGGTGTTGTCATGTCTAGAAAAAATAAAACTAAGGTGATTTTATAAAGAATTATTTTATTGCAGAATTTATACTGCACTTTTTACTTATAATGATCTCACTTCCTTCTTAATCTGACATAAAAGTATCCAACTGCTCTCATTAGTAAGCAACGCTGTTAATTGTCAAGCTGCGCTGATGCTTCCTCTCTTTTCAAATGGGAAGTCAAATATAGAACACTAGAAAAGAAAGAAATAGGGCACACAGTTCCGATTTTCAGATACACCAAACTATCTCAAATCCAGATAACATATGTCAATATAGATTTCTTAACTGTTCTGCTCTCTTTCAGGTTATTATTCCTGGGCAACTTTAGCTTCCTCACCATCTTAAAACTGTGGACCACAGAGCACCCTCTGTCATTTCAGCTATCTTTTCCAGAAAGTATGTATTTAATTCTGCCATCTCTACACACAGCAGTGACAAGAACAGCATTATGAATCTAACACTATACCTTTTTAAAAAAGAGGTTTTATGGAAACAAACATATATACACTTACATTTTCTTGTAAAAGGAAAACAACACCAATGATAATAATTTAAAGAATTTAGATATGTCTCAAAATTGTTTGACCATAAGCTTCAAGGTACATTCACCTGTTGTGAAAACTTGGGGCCTTGGAAAAAAAACAACCCACCAGTATGTGAATGTGTCCAAATCTCAAAACATTATTCCACAATGAGGCTGCTTGCAAAGTACATTTAAGTCTGATTTATCAGAATTTCACTAACTATTTTCTATCACTGAGCTTAAAAATGAATTTGTGGTGTTTTCTTTCCTTACCACATAGCCTAATGGTCTAAAGGTCCTTTGACCCATACACAGGCCAGAACTGTGGTATCCTCAATAGCTATCTTCTCTCTTTATAACTAAGGTACTATAGTCAGAAGCAAATTCCTCACACAGAAAAAATCCCTACTGTTTTTTTTTGTTGTTTTGTTTTTTACTGTAAAGGCTGTCCATAGTGGCATATTCACATGGAAAAAACCCAAACCCAAACCCAGACTACTTTTAGAGGGAAGGCTGAAGTAAAACAAAGCATTAAGATTCCTCCAGTTATCCGTGTATAAGAGGTTTTTTTAAAAACTGAAGTTAAACAGGCGACTTATCATGTAGAATGAAAATCCTAAAGTTTAAAAGTTCTGTTGAACTGCATCCAGTAAACATTTGTAGCTCAATCTGTTGTATTTGAAATAAGAAACAAGCTTACAGATGGTCATCTTTTGCCAATACAGTTACATAGTGTAAGTGTCACCTGAAAGACTACCCCTCCACCCCATCCACCAGTTACGTCAGCAGATAGTTCTTTTTGTTTTCAAAAGCAAGGCCTCAGCATTCCTAGAAGTCCTCTTTTTACTGAGGTCTTTGTATTACACAAGTAGCTCTGTTAATAAAACATTTTGTTACTCTGACGTACTTAAATTCCAGTCAGAAATAGTATCATCATCATCAAGTTCATCGTCATCATCGTCATCATCTTCAATACGATCTTCTTCATGTTGCTGAGCCACTGTCCGTGAACGATGAAAACGAGGTCTTATGTCCTGTTCACTATCTGGGATAGCTTCATCTTCTTCAACATCCCCCTGTCATCAGAATGTTCAATTAGATAAACTAGTCCAACCATATTGCTCAAGAAAGTTAAGAATGTAGTTTTAGTTCAAGATATTGTAAGCATATAGAAGATTCAGATCCCACTTGCACTGCCCAGCTAACTAAAAATGCTATTGTTCCTGCATTCTGCTGCCTCATTTACCAGAAAAATGAAAGGAAGATAGAAGAGAGGTAAGCTCACGCACAAAATATACTTCTTGTTAAGAAATTACTCTTGATAGGAATGAAGTAGTGGATAAAGAAATTTTGGTACACATTCTAAAATGTAGTCATGGAAAAAGCTGCTTATTCAATCTAGAAGGCATTAGAACTAATTCTGAAGATTTTTTTTGGGGCTGCATTGTTGTAGTAGTTCATGAGTAATAGCATCGCAGCTCTGCTAAACTGGGTGGGAGGGGGCAGGGGCAAAGCAGGAAAGCCTGCAGATTATTTTCAACAAACATGGCAGCAGTTGCTTTTAGTATCTGGAAGAGCACACCTTGATCCAGAAGTCTAATTCTGCACTGAACAGATGGTAGGCCAGATCTATCTATTCTGATCTGACTCATTCTGATTTACAGATCAGAAGCTAGCCAGATATTCTTACAGACTAAAAGAAACTGACGCTCACCTTCAACAGAATAATATCAATCTCTGAATATTTCATACCATTTACCAGCACAGGTATCAACCTACAAAGAAATATTGGTACATGTCAAACTAACACAGAAAAAAGAAAACCAGTTTCAGTTACCTGGGCCATAATTCTGGTTGTAAACCTCATCCCCACCAACCCCAAATAATAAATAGAAAAAAAAACCCCTTAGTCTGGTAACAAAAATTAGTACTCAAACCAAACTCCATATCATAAGGTTCATCAATACTCTGTAATGTGAAAAAGTGTTAATTTCAAATAACAAACTTTTAACCAGGGGTAGCCAGATGGCACAACTGAATTTTAAACTTAAGAATACAAACTCCCATAATACACATGATCAACAAACTGGGTCTCACCAATAGCACCTGTCACTATTTACCTGTGATTGAAGACTACTCACTACTCTTAAGACTAACTACATTAAGCCCTCCTATCCTTTTGTGATTACTTCAGTAAAACAAGTCCTTAACGTTGCAGAGATCTTGACTAATCTGTATTGGGATTTACTTTGTTGTTAAAGTCATTATGACTATAGGACTTGCTCCCAACTGTAGAGATGTACAGCTAAAAAAACTTATGAAGGGAAACAAGTCAAATACTTCACATAACACACACACAAACAAAAATCCATTAAAATATATATTGCAAGTCAAATCAAGCTAATGACAACCATGGACAGACCCAGCACCAGTGACAGGCTCAATCTCTCTTTATTCTGCAACTAAGAAGTTACTGGTTTTGAAGGTATCAGGCCATCAATAATATTCATGCATTGCAATGGCAATGAATTTTGAACTCTGAATGAAGGAATAGTAAGTATTCACATTTTAACCAATTCACTGGCATTTTTGCAGCATACTTCATGAAGCATGCAGGAACTATGTATTTTGTAAGAAAGCCTACAGGCGCAAAACGGAACAAGATGTTAAGATACGACATGAATGGGTTTTTCAGATGATCTTGTCCCACCTAATCTAATACAAAAAAAATTAAGATTATCATCAAGTGCTGACAAACTTACATAGCTCCCTAGTCAAACAAATAAGCTGCTTTCAACAAACATGATACTGAATGACCATGAGAGAAATGTAGTGTTACTCTTATTTTTCTATAAATTTTAAAGCTTTATTTTAAAAAAACAGAAACCCTGAGTATGATACTGTTGCAGTTTGAATGTTCATGTAGGCCAGAAGAGGATTAATACAACTAGTTAACTCGTATTCTCAGTATAAACACATCATGTGTGTTGGGAAGGGGGTGGGTAGACTCACGAATTGTGCTGTCAGTTCTTTTGTCTTGAGCTACAAGAGTTGGAATTAAATAAAACTATTTTAAAACTTTAAAACTATTTCTCATAACATTGGATCTCCCATTTTCAACTCCTATTCTTCCACTGCTACAGTGGGTGTTTTAATCTCAATTCTCTACTTTCTAATTGCTTATAAAAACTGAAATTTTGCTCTTTTGAATTGCTTCACTTCTATAATGCTTATTTTTACTGAAAATGTTCTGTGATTCTGTTATTCCACTCAAGATCTTAAAAGAACTGCCCTGTTCAAAAACCTTCCATGTATATATAAAAGCAAAGAGCATCCTTTCACTGAGAACACTGAAGAATTCATTTCCTATTGCAAAGGGCTTCAGATTAGTCTGGAAAAAAGTTACAAGCACTATTGCAGACATGCAGATGTTTATGTCTCAAACATGGATAGTTGTTCCCAACCAAAGATCTATCTTTTGAGTTCAAAGATAACATTTGGAAACTTACAAAACAGTTTTTGAAACTTAAACTACTGTCAGACTGCAGAAGTATGAAGGAAGACGTTGTACTTGCTTTCATGTTTAAATTGCAATAGCAATTGATATAAAATAGATTCCTGAATCAAGTGATGTCATAGTGCTTTGCTATCTTGTTTATAAAACAGGGAACTCTTTGCATGACTATGCACATAGAATCATTGCACAGAGATGCCTATATAACCAATAGTCAAGACAACATGTTCATGATACACCAGATATTACAGGTAACATCATGCCGAGTGTTTGTTTGAGCTTAAGAGCACATTAGCACATATTCATTTATGTGAAGCTTAAAAGCCTGTTAAGCTTAAGGTAAAGCATCATGGTGACAGTTTCGGTTGCTTCTGGAGGTCACTGGGTGTGAAAACCTCAGAAGTCTTTTCAGTGAATTCTGTGCTACAGCCATTTTTACTCTGCACAAGAACTAGCTACAGGAAAATTATTCTAAGCACACTGCAAGCTACATACAGTCTCTGTAAGAATAACCATGTAAAGTCAGCTAAAGTTATAAGATGACTATTTAAAAATAAACAGGAGTTGTAATTTTTAATACTTACTTAGTAAGATGCCGACATAATACATCTTTACAAATTGGCTGTTCAGCCAAAGTCAACCAAAACTCACAAGCCTCCAAAGCCACATTTTCATCTTGGTCCTGGGTCCTCTGAAGCATGTACTACACAATATAAAAATAAATTAATTGTATAAGATAGAAGTTTTAAGTGTCCAGAAGATGCTACCAACATTGCAAAGTGCGTTCACAAAACCAGACTATGCTACCATGGAACAAAACAGGCATAAGAGACTACTTGAAGGCTATCCTGAGAATAAGCTAAGAGACATCTTAATGCTTAATGATAAAGGCTCTAAATTTCTTCATTGTTTAAGTGAGAACATTATTACCAAGAAACTGCAGAGATCCAAGATAATAAATGACAGTTTCCTCTTAAATTTATTTTTTACTCCCCCTTTGCACTTTTGAGCAAAAAGGTACAACTATAACCTTAATAAAATGGAATAGCTTCCCTTCCAAATCTTGAGTATGTGACAGGATGTAATAAAGTAGAACCAGTAATGGAAAAAAAACCCTTCACATTTTTCTAGCATGAATGGTAATTCAGATTCAGTACCCAATCTTTAAGCTTGCTATTAAAATTTAATTCTCCTTCAACCAAAAATAATCAAATACCTGAAAAAAGAGAAAGTCCAAGTAGACTACTGCTACATCAGTTTTAGACACAACTGTCAAAACAATTTAGGGAAGACTCCTGCAACTTCCAAAATAGTAATTTCTGCATTCTTGCATGCCAGCCCTTATTTCTGAAACAGTTGGTTCTTCCATTTGTTTTAGAAAACCCCATAGAAGTCCATGCAGCTACCTTTCCTCAAACATGAATTTAGAGAAAAGAAAAATCCCTCTTCAGTTGCTCCAGAATACCATTTTATTCTCAAAATTATAAACAGAATAAGGGAACCTTTATTATCCTTATGTATTTCAGGGATGAAAGACTTGCCATGAGCAGCACCCCTTCCTACAGAATTAGACTAGATCTCAATCTTTTCCTAAAGGTTCGCTAATGTGATTAAGAACTCACAGTAACAGAAAAACGTCTCTATTCCAAGTTGTCAACAGATTGCAGCTCAGAGAAGTTGAAGACAAAAACAGAATGACAAGAATTATAATGACTGAAGATGCCCCTCACACTGTCATTTCCTCTTTAAGTATTATACGTACTATACTGTATGATCTATGAAGACAGATAACAGTAGATTGAAAAGGTAGTGTAAGATAGCCATATACACAGCCTGGTAATCATAGCAATAACACTGAGCCTAGTAACAAAGCAAAATGTGGGAAGAGTATTTGAAGGCTTTTTAAAAAATACTATCATGCCAAATTTTACTAAGTACTTTTAATGATAAGCTATAAAGTTCTTTATGACTTTAGGCAATGCATATAGTTGCTCTGTTACAACAGATTACAAAATAGCATTGGAAGATTATTCAGTACAGTTTTGTGTATTCTGTAAGGTATATAATGTTGTGTTAGTCTTGTTATGTCAACCATCAAGAAAAGGGATACGCAGAGTACCGAGAACAACATATCCTTTGAGCAGTAACAGACATGACTATCTGAAGAAAGCAACAGGATGTGAAAGTCAGGATTTCTACTGAGAAAGATCTTAGGAGCCATGTGTTTGGATAAATATGCTCCATGAGTGTACGAGTGAAATGTTAGGTCAGTCTAGTCCTGACACGTGCTGTTATCAAGTTCTCAGACAAAAAAAAAAAGAAAAAACATCTGCTTCTGGTCACCTGAAAGTGTATGCTCAAAAAACCCAATGAAATTCACACCCAGCCATTTCTTTACTCCAGGGATTTGGCAACAGAGTTTAAACTTGTCTGCTTCAAAAGCATGATGTTCAGCAAGACCTTCTTAGAATCACTAGTGTATCATTAATATTCTTTACTTTAGAAGTGTTTCTTCATGAGTATGAAGAACATAATGTAGATAAAAGTTTCTCTCCTTTAATATATGTTCCTCCCCTAGAGCAATCAGCAGCAGCAGCGTTCAGCTTGGAGGCATTAAAGCCTCAAAGGTGCAAAACATGTCTCATTAGAATGCTGAACAGTCAGTTTTGGGATATTACATTTGCACATACCAGGATGTATACAGAACTGGGCAAGTCAGCAACAGTACACAGTAGTCCAAAAACAGGAAAAAGAAACACCTCAACTTTCTGTTACAGAAGAGAAGGTCAGCTACTACTGCCTTTTGTAGAAAGGAAGCCTAGCAGTTTTCCCAACAGCAAAATACTAGAAACAATCAGAATACATTCTCAGATCTTTTTGTGGTAGGTGATATAATTTCTATCTATGAGGTCCAGAAGCTCCTAACAGATTTTATAAGGATAAAGAGCCAGAGAAGTTATCATGTTTTGACAATATAATCTCCAAAGCTTTATTCTGTCTCAAAAAAAAAAAAAAAAATCTCTCAACCAAACACCAGAAATCCTTGCTTGTCCTATGTTGTATGAGAGCATGTCTGCCAACACTGGTGTCATGGAATCCCAGACAACATAGAGGAAGATTAGTCAGCAGGCCGAGGCTGTCAAGGGTCACCTCAGTTTTATGCATCTCTAATGCCTGTGTACAGGAGCAAAAAAACCTCAACACCTTCTTTGTCTTGTCTGTACACAGTCCTTGTGGAATTTGACACTGGGTTATGACCCAGTTGTCCACATGAAATCTGCAGGAGAAACATCATAATCTTCGTTGTATTTCCAGTCTGGCAAGTAGTGTATATAAATGCTACCTAGAAACTGCCAATATATCCCAGAAATGTGGAAATTACTCACAGCTCAAACAGTTAAGCAGACAATAAAAAAAAGCTTATTGGTTCTCAGGTAGACAAGTCTGTACTGATATAGAATGGTAATGGAACTACTGAATGACATTAACCTCTACAACTAAATACAGTGGGAGGCAATGTTGTTAGTAGCTCAAAGAGCATCTCAGCTATGTAAAAGAACATGCTTTATCCTTTTTATGGTCAACACATCTGAAAAAAAGTAACAGCTTCTATATGTAAAGTGTAGCAGTATGAGGACTAGAACTAAATTTTTAACATGATCTTCTCACTTGGGGTCAAGCAATGCCTGGCTGTTTCACTTCAGGATCAGTTAACTTAATGAAGAATAAAAAACTGCCACATGCACCACCTGTCAAACACAATGTCAAGCCGACAAATAGCTAAGAGGAAAGTTTTGCAATTTCAGTCTTGAAGGAAAATGAAGAATAGGCAAGTGCAATGGTAATTAATCAACCTGTTCTGATGAATCCTTTTTATCTGTTATTATTTCTGCAACTGCAGACAGGTTTTTCAGCATGCAACCTGGGAAATGACTCACCTCAACTATACTAATCATATGAGGAAGGAGACGATCCATTCGAACTTCCAGCAACATAACCAGAGCACGGCAAACATTTTTGCGTACTTCAGGCTCCTCATCAGTAGCCAGTGCAAAGAGATTCTGTTGGAAAATAGTACCCGTTGAAAAGCCTTAGTTCATCTAGGTCAGCGTGTATTTAAATTGACATTACTGACAAACTAAAGTATGCAAATACATATTTCTGTACCCTCCTATCTCACACCTTGGAACACCATTTTATTTCTTAAAGATATATGTTTAGTAAATTAGATCTTTAGGCTCTCACTGTATATGGTACACATAACCAAAACACTGGCACAAGAACAGTATTTCCTGGATATTTTCTCCTACACATAAATGAAGTTCTGAAGCCAGAAAACTCCATTAGTACGTAGCAGCAGCAAATCAAATACTGCAGATAACCCACAATGGCCACCCTTCTAATCTATGTTCAGTAGCAGTATAAAGAGACACCCAGATGGATTCAGTGACATGGTGATCCTTGTACTGGACTTTCCACCACAAGTAAGTGACAGACTGCTGCCATTACTTTTACACCTTTATGCAACAGGAGTTTCCACTACTTATGAAGAGGAAGCATCTTTCAAAGTATTATTTTCTGGGCTCGGAGAGTGCTTAGACTACTCAACTCCGAGCACAAGCATAAAGAATGAACTTCAATCCAGCGGGACTGAAACTAAGAACAGGCAACCAGAAATGGGGAGTTTGGGGGTAGAGGTGGTTGTAAAACATAATTCAAAATTCTTGATAAATCAGATACATAATTTGACTTAATCCCCCCAACCAAGAATGCACACTCACCTCAATAAAAGAATCTATGTGCAACATAAGAGCTTGAGTTCTGCTGATGATAAATTGATTGACACACGCAACAGCATGAGACCTACACATGGAACAGTTAAAATACACATTATTCATGTGTTAAAAACATTTTCTAAACTGTACATAGGCATAAACATTTCAAAGCAACTAACATTGTCCAAACATCTAGAAGCAAGAGGGAACAAACCTGCACATCTAAGTATTGCCAAGCAAAATTACTAAACCACATTTTAAGTATTACCTTATTCTCTGATACATGTAGTAAGTATTTAAAAATAAAAGTATTCAGTGAATAAAAAACAGAGCAGGATGACTACACCTGGCACATTTGTTCTGAAGAGTATGTAAGGATGTTCTTTGGGTAGATTATAATTATTGACCTTCTCTGATATTAACTATTCCACACAAGTCAGCATGGTGATATTTTAGCACACTCTTCTTCATTGTTAAGTATACAATTGCCTTTACAGTGTTTTTAGTATTTAGAGACCAATATGTGTCAACAGTATAGCTATAGCTTAGGACAAACACACACTTGTAGTAGGATACATCGTAAAATGTTTGTGGTAGAAACATACTAAAAAATGAAGCACTGTTTCTTCTATTCCATTTCATGCTAAACCATTACTTACAGGCCTTTTTCATTCTCAGAGATCCAAAAATCAAATTCTGTAAGTAAAGGCACAAGGCAAAACTACCTGTGAAAGCCTTTCAAGAGCCACTAAAGTATTTTTACCAATGTAACTCCAAACTTCTATTCTGTTCAGACATTTCTTGGAAGACTGTCTCATAAAAATGTAGATCAAAAGCTGTCTCTTGACACATTTAAATATAAGTATTTTACTGACACCACTAATAGTTTTCATACTTCAACACTTGTACTGAAACGAGGCTGCAGGTAAGCAAGTGGCCTGCTTTAAACCTGAAACTGGTTTAACAGTCTCAAAGCCACAGATATTGCAGCACAGGAAAAAAGTGAAAGACTGTGTAAGTAAAAAAGCATGGTTTTCTTGATCTTTCCACAAGAAGTTCATGCTTTGTTACATATTTTTGTTCGTATGCACCTATTCTAGATGACTCTCTAATTCTTACTCGAATCCTATCATCACATATTCCGAGTTATACTCTTAGTTTTCATCATCTACTACTGTTGACAATAAAGAATTGCCAACTCCAAGTTGTACAATCTTTCAATATAATTTTCAAACAGGAGTTAAAAAAAACCACATTTCACAGAATCACAGAATGGTTGAGGTTGAAAAGGGACCTCTGAAGATCATCTGGTCCAACCCCTCTGCTCAATCAGGGTCACCTACAGCCAGTTGCCAAGGACCATGTCTGGATGGCATTTGATTATCTCCAAGGATCTCTATCACCTCTCTGGGCAAACCATGCCAGTGCTTGGTCACTCTCACAGTAAAAAAAGTATTTACTGATGTTCAAAGGGAACCTCCTGTGTTTCAGTTTGCATCCATTGCCTCTGGTTCTGTCACTGGGCACCACTGGAAAAAGCCTGGCCATGTCTTTTTAACTCCCTTCAAGCGTTTATATACAATGATGAGCTCCCCCCCACCCCAGCTCTCTCAGCCTTTCCTCATAAGAGAGATGCTCTAGTCTCTTCATCATCTTCATGGCCCTTTGCTGGCCTCTCTTCAGTATGTCCATGTCCCTATTGCAATGTACAGGCCAGAAGTGGACACACTATACTCCAGGTGTCGCCTCACCTGGAATATGAGGGGAAGGATCACCCTCCTTAACCAGTTAGCAAAACTCCAGCACAGGATACCATTAGCCTTCTTTGTGGGAGGGCCACACTGTTGAGTCATTTCAGGGTAAAAGCTACTGTTCTTTGTAATGAATATCAGCCATAACAATTAAATTCTAGGATTTTTCTTGTATTCTATACTTCTGTTGCTTTGGAGAAATTAATACAGTTGTACAGTGAAAAGATGATGAACCCATTTAATTTGATTCTGCTGAAAGATAAAGAGCTTAAAAAAGTTTGGTGCAGTTAAAGCAGAACATTTTTTTGTGAGAACTCAAACTACTGTCAGCATAAGAATCTTGACTCTCCTATTGCTGAAGTCATTATAAAATGAAAGCAAAATTGTTCTCTTTCACAAGAATATTAAGTTCTAACCACAGCACTGAATTTTTCACAATATGCAGAAACTTAAAACAGTTTGATTTTCAAAATCATAGGCTGATTGTACATTTGGAAAACGTATAAAGAGGTGAGATTGTTGTATTAACTTAGCAAATAAATATGGAAATTATTGATGCATAGAATCTCTGTGGATCTCTGAAGGATCATTTAAACAGAACTATGCATGTTTTAAACAGGTCTACAAACTAGCAACCTTGCTGCTCATGTAAATAAAATTTTAACAGGCAACTGTATTACAACACCTAAGCCTACCTTATTTTTGGACTGCTGTGCTTGAAGAACTGCAAGAACTTAGGTATCATGATATTGAGTGGTCGGTCCAATACATCACTATCTAAAATTTCAGCAGAATCTTCACATATCTTCTGAAGAGCACCAAAAGCACCCTGTTTAAAAAAAAAAAAAAATCTTCTTCCACATTCTGAAGAAAGCAAAGTTTCAGGTTTTGTACAGAACAGGCCATTTCAGCACAACACAGTAAATGTAGCTAGTTAACACAGTGAATGCATCTAACTAAATATGGAGTTAAACTGAAACATCCTTAAAGGTTTTTTATTTAAGCACTTTATACCGGCATCTGTAAGATCTCCAGCTGGGTGAGTCAGTAATGGCTAAGTGGTAATTTTAATTTTAGCATTCAGTGCTCAACTATTCAATCATATTTTTAAAAATGCTTGAAAGCTAGTTCTTATTTGAGAAATTGTGATGCCCTGCCAGGACCGGAGACCACGTTGGCGTTGCCCCTCCCCCACCCTCGGCCAGTCAGGCTGGAAGCGAGGCACAAACCCCAGGTTAAAATAAGAAGAAATTTAATACAACAGTGTGATAAATAATCTGAACAACAACAGTAGCAATAACAACACTAAGTAGTAATAACAGTAAACAAGACAGAAGATATACAGAGAAATACTGCAATGGTTACAGACAGCTCACTCATGTGCTCCCCATCACCAAAGCCACAAAGGAAAAAGTTCCCACGCTCCTGCGCTGGGACCTGATGTCAGCATGGTATGAATAACCCGCCTGGAGATCCCTTCCCCCTCTCTAGTGGGGAAACTTAACCCTGTCCTAGATGAACCAGGACAGAAATAAATGTCGAGGTACACAAGTATCGAATTTAATTATATATATAATTGTATTTCCTTTCATGATTTGTTATTGGGCAAGAGAGAACTCTGGATATGATGGTCAATTTAAATTTCATTTTCAAGTGCTTTTTTTCTTTAGAAAGCAGCACAAAACCACTACATAACAGCTTGGCATCTTGGACCATTATATTATCTCAGAGGATTATTTTATATAAAATGCTTCTCACACTTTCATGGAGACAGTATCAATTAAAATCGTGTGATCACAGATTTTTATTTTTTTAATTAGACAGGGCTTTTTTATCCTCATAGCTTAAAACCATTAAATTGGTATTTATTTTACTTCATGCACACTGAACAGAACTGTTCATTTCACCATGATATAGCAACAACAGATTGCTTTTCCAGATTAAGTTACAAGAAGAATGAACACTGTTTTTAAGTAAAAGAAAATTCAGGGTCAACTTTATGACAGTGGTGATGTCTAAAAGATAGGCACAGAGAGGTAACCAGCAGCTGAGATGCTACGACTATTCATTTGCAGTCTTACTCTACTTTTATGTAAAGAAAACAAATGTATTTGAATGAACAGTAAGAACATGCAGCACAGGTAGAAGAAAGAGTAGCAAATTTGAGCCAATGTTCCAAGAAGAACATACGTACGTGTATACATATACACAATACTATATATAGCATCTATGAAGAGAAAATAATCAAGTTCAGGTGATAGTCTTCTATTTTCTGTAAGTTTCCTTACCTCACAGGTATTGTAATCTTCAGAATCCAACAGGCTGCAAAGCTTTGGTAAGAGTTCAGGCCAATTCTGTAATTCTCCTTTTGACGCAATGGTTGTTATCAGAATGCCTAAAGGAATCAGAGGGATGAAGAAAATGAGACCTCACATACCTTCACATATTTCATACCAATTTTTCTCCCCTCAAAGATCTAAGGAGTTAAGAAATTTCTTGGTTTATTAAGAACTAGCAAGCATGAAAAGAGGAAGTACATTTAATTACAAATGGTATTTAAAAGGCTTTGAAATGTAAAGGGTTGGACATTAGGAAAAAAATTTTCATAGAAAGGGTGGTCAGACAGTGGAATAGGCTGCATAGGGAGGTGGTGGAGTCACCATCCCTGGATGTGTTTAAGGGTCGTTTAGATGAGATGCTGGGGGATATGGTGTAGGGGAGAACTTTGTAGAGTAGGGCTGATGGTTGCACTCCATGATCCCAAGCCTGAATGATTCTGTGAAAAGCATGAATGTGAGAATCTGCCGTTCAATAAACTTACAAGCCAGTGGTAAATTACGTGTTCACAACTTTACTGTATTTACACAAAACATTAAGGACACATTCTACCTACTAAAAGCTTACACACTATGGCAGGTCATCTATGGGTTGGAAGACTGAGATCCAGCAAACAGATAGGTCAGCTGAAAGAGGTACTAATTCTGTTTCCAGCACATACCGAAATCCCAGGAAAAACTAATTAGTGACAGGAACAAGGAAGGCCCCTTATAAACTAGGACTGACTTTGTGCAAGTCCATTTTGCCTCATGACAAAATGAAGCAGTAGCATAATCCATTATGCTACAGTTATTTCTAATGACTATGAACACAGAAGATACTACTACAAGTCATCTCCCAAGTGACAAGTGATGAAAAAAAACCTCTCCTAAGGTTTTTCATTGAGCTAATCACTATAATTTTTCTTTGGAATAAAATGCTAAAATTTGTTAAATACACCAGAATACAGGACAACATTACAGAGCAAAGGACATTTTGGACAACACACACAATAACTAAAAGATTATTTTGCATGATGCTTCCTTTGATGCAACAGGCTGGAGAAGCCACAAAGTGGGCAAAAATTAAGACAGAGGTAAACCACAATTTTACAGCTCCAGAATTAGTCTGCATCCAGTTGTGTTCAGAACAGCAACTGAATAGAAAAGATTCCCAAAAGCCTATGGAGATCTGTGGAGTCTTAAAGACTGCATTTCTCCTGAATATTATGGTCCTGCAAAGAATATCAGATGCATGAATAGAAAATACTTATTTTACTGTTGCTGAATCTTAATGATCCACTTTTTTTTTTTAATCAAATTGAACTTCACAAAAGGAGCAAACTAAACAAATTTTCTTGCCTCTTAGTCAAAGTACTTAAATCACAAAACTGTATAATCCCTAATTTATATCTGAAACAGGCTTGTACGTAGACTTAACACGGGTTCCAAAACAAACATAAGAATGAAATTCCTGGAACTATTCTGGACTAGCATGTGACAGAAGTTATACAGAAATTAAATTTCAAAGGGGTAGTTAGTTTTGGAGAAGAGTTGGTTAAAGATCTTTTCAATGTCCTAGGAGTGGTTTCAGATGACACACAGTCTGGCTATACTTGTAATATGTGCAAGCTTTCACAGCTGAAGGAAAGACTATGTGAAAACCACTTAAAATGTTCTTCCAAAAGGCTTATCCCAGACAGCAACAGGATAACGTAGAGGAAATACTTCCAGGAAATTCTTCTAGCCAAGAAGTGACCTGAGTCCACTGCCCCTTGCAACAGAGACATATGCAGTTTAGACTACACATGTTATTACAGACATTCTGTACAGGTCTGCAGAGAAGTCATTTAACATTATGGTGGTATTCTGGAAATGATAAAGAGACACTTTGGTGAGGATTAAAAAAAAAAATAATTCCAAAACAGAGAGACTATCAACAACTTGAAAGGTGTTGTGGTTTAGACCCAGCTCGCAGCCAAACACCACACAGCTGCTCACTCACCCTCCCCTGCCTGGGGAATGGGTGAGTGAATGGGAAGAGTAAAAGTAACTTGCAGGTTGAGATAAAAACAGTTTAACAACTGAAATCAAATAAAAGAATAATAACAATAATAGAAACTTGTAATGCACAATGCAATTGCTCACTACCTGCTGACTGATAACCAGCCTGTTCCTGGCTAGAGATCCCAAAAACCCCAAGATCTCAAAACCACAATCCCAAGAAGCAAGAGAGAACTCCATCCTTCCTGTCTGATCCTGCTCTATATACAAAGCATGACATGACATGATAATGGAATATTACACTGGTCAGTTTGGGTCCATTGCTCTGGCTGTGCCCCCTCCCAGCTTCTTGTGCACGGGCAGGACATGGGCAGCTGGAGACGCCTGGATTTCTTAGCAACAACTGAAAACATCAATGTATTACAAACATTCTCATACCAAATCCCATACTGAATCCAAAGCACAGCACTATTCTAGCTACTACGAAACAAAATTAATCATCCAGCTGAAACCAGGACAAGAGGCAACAGCTATAGCATCTGAAGCTTTCCAAAAGGTTTTAAGAACAATGTGAAAACAGCCTCATAAAATTAAGTTTTAGGCACTTATATTCATGTTAAAAGGAATCTTCATGAGCTTCTAATGAACTTCATCTTCTTTCAATTGTGAAATTTTTACCACCCACCTGAGGCTTTATTTGGCCAGCAGGGAACAGAAGACACCAGAAATTAGGCTTTGTGGCTTTCCCTACAAGACTTCAGACACCAAAAGATGGACATCAGAAGAATAATCAAAGTAAAGAAATAGTCAATATAGTAGCTTGCAGCTTTTTCACAGGTTTGGTTTAGAGCTGACAGTTAAAACAGGCCCTTCCTTCCGACCTAAGCTACAAGGTTAGAAATCTGAAATTGAAAAGTCTTTATAAAGATGGTCTTGATTTGTAATGAATGTCAAAACAGTTTTACAGAATCTGTTCATATTTCATTTGACAAATGTGATATCTAATGAATATAGCAGCTAGGCTAATTGAGCAGTAAACACAGAAGAGAACAAACTCCAGAGGGATGTCAGAAATTGTTAAAATCATAAGTGGAACTGCATGACAGCATCTTTTATGTCACTTTTTCAATTAAATGCAAGCCCAGTTTACAGCATCAATCCTACAATAAAAAAATTAAACAAAGAAAAAGCAGCTATGCTTCAGTACTTACATGCTAACAACAGGACAGGGGGAAGGTTGGGGTTTTTGGGGTGCTATTTTGCCTCAGTAACTCCTGAAGTTCATTTCTGAACTCCTTAATTCTAAAAAGCTGAACTTCATAACAAAATTCCCCTTCACAGTGCAATCAGCTTTCACTTTCCTTCTGCAGTGAAACTCTCCAGCCCTGTCACTGCTCTTAAACACTCAAACTATTTCCATTGCTTCCTTTTAAGCAGTAGTTATACTAAGGTCCTGCTCAGACTAGAATCTCCAGAAAGTTTTAAGAACAGTTACAGATACTTCCTAAAAAGATGCATACATTTCCTGGTAAGTTTTGTGTGTCCTCAACACATGCAGCAATCTTTTTTGAATTTGAATCCATATTTCAACATTAGCACATGGGGTTTTAAAACCTGTACCACACAGCAAAGTTCCACACTCTTACCCATTTGGGGATTGCAATAGGCAAGAGGTAAGTAAGGATACAACAGCATGTAGTTACTATTTGGTCTCAAGTCACAGTTCTAAAACCAACTCTACTGCCATGCTCATTTTTCTTAGTGAAGTGTCTTCTGAGAATGGGATTAATCAGCTTGCCTCCATCTTGGCCAAAAGGAATCAGCTTTTGTCTGGTCAGCAGTAGATGCTAGAGACCACAAAGGAGAGTGAATGCTGCATTAAATCTTCTCTGATGCTATACTGATGTACTTGCTCATCTTCCTCTCAGAATTCCAGAGATCCTATTTGCAGTTCACAAATGAAATTGATAGTCCTTGAACTGCAAAAACCATAAGTATCTCAAAAAGCAGCTCAAACTAGCATGTGCCAACTCATATGCTAACAAGGCAGCCTAGGTAGGCAGAAATTTATTTACCCCTAGCTAATACCGTACTGGACTAACTTCACTATTAAGACAGAAGGCTACAAGGATCCAGTTTTTAACTACTTCAAAGGGCAGGGTGCAAAGCATGTGCTAAACACCAACTTCTATGCAAGTATACAGTTCATCAGTTGCTTACTCATCTTCAGAGTTCATATACATGCTTAAATAATCCCTGCAAGTATCACTTAAAGCTGAACAGTAACTGAGCTACTAATCCACAAATGTTTAGTACTAGGAGAAGAGAAAGAGTAAGTGCTTAAAAACAAACAACTCCGTCAACCCCCCAAAAAAACGCCACCCCAATCATCACCAAATAACCCTAAAACAGCTAGAATATATTCAAGTCAACTCCACTATACTCCACTGACAACTCCTATGAACAAAGAAGCAAGCATAACTCTTCTACAACCTGAAACCACAAAAATACCTGCTGCTCAAAGACTTGCTTCTACTCTCATCAAGAAAAGGGGAGATTAATAAAATTCATAGCAAAGCAGCATCAGAAGTAATAAGACTGGAGAAAAAAGTCAAGATAAGCATTTTTCTCTAGTTCGTGTTCTATAACCCAGATGTCTGGAGAAAGAATCCTATAGAAAAAGCAAAGGATTCTAAAGAAGCAGTAACTGGCAGGTTATTTTATAAGAGGAGTCAGCTGATACAAGCTGAACTTCTTTCTGAACTGACACCCACACACCCATTTTCTCTACTGTACTCAAAAATGTATTTATTTTATTTTTTTCTATTTTTTTGAGTGGACAAAGTAAACTAGTACAATGATTGCAGTAGCTGGAGGAAATCATATTCTAAGAAGAGACTGAAAAGCAATTTACCTAGAAATAGGTAAAAATAATGCAAATATGCATATTTTATGTAAGAGATGTACTAAAGTATCTACAAAATCAGAAATTCATGTAATAAAGATCATCTAGTTCAATGAGAAGTTTTTTAAGGTCCCTTCTAACCCAAACCATTCTGTGATTCTATGATGTTCTGCACACATTTACTGTTTTCTGACAGAAGGTATTTAAAAACAGAAGCTCATTATGTGTGTTATGCATAGTATGATGATTCCCTGAAGGGATGTGGATGTCTGTGCATATCGGGGCAGGAAACACAAGGAAACACAGCTAACATGCAGAGTACTGAAATAGTTCTGAAGTCAGACCTTTACCTTGTTCCTGGTTTTAGGTATAAAATTGGCAGCACGCTTGATTTTAGTGGTTTGAAATAAGTTTATGTTCAGTTAAATTTCAAGAGATATGAACTGAATTGCTAAATCAGTTCTAAGAGAACAGGAAGAAAAGTATGACTTCAGTATATTCACACTAAAGATAAATATCAGCATTAAAACATGGTGAGTTGTGACATGATGAATTGTGACAATTACCAAAAGCAAATAGTTTTAGAAGTTTAATAACTCTTTATGCCACTAGTGCAGCTCTCACGTATCAGTAAACATTTTCAGTATATTCAATAAGCAATAAGAGCAAACTTACCTACAGTAGCTCTAATTAAGGGAGAGGAATCACCAATGTTGTTCAGACATTCACTTTTTATGAAATCAGTTACCCCACTGGGAAAGTTGTGAAAATGTGCTTTTACATTGTTCTTCAAGATGAGACCACTCAAGGAACGTGTTGGTTCATCTGCAACAGAAAATAATTACAGTCAACCTTCAAGAAGCTTTCCAGATTTCCAGAACAATGCAGCAAGGGCAAAGCTTATATAGAGATATTTAGCTTGATTTCCTTATCTCTTCCTCCAGCTACACTCATCAATTCACATAGTAAAGGTTTTCAGATTCAGAGTTCACTATTTCTCTTTATTCAAAATTAGAATATCAGTATTACAAAACTTTCTCTTAAAATATAGAATTTGTATGGAGATATAGGCAAAGAATAGATCTGAAGTCACAGGATATAGGAGACTCATGAAAGAAATGGGTCAAAGACATTCAGACATTCTGATTATACTGTCTGGCTTGCTGCAACACTGATACTGTAAGAAACCGATGACAAACCTGCTTTCACCATACTAAGATACAGAAATTATGTAGGGACTATGCAGTAAATCTTCTACCACCTACTCCCACAGAAATACAGTGTTCAATTTTTCTACAAAATATGGTAATGCAATCCCTTCAGATACCAGCTGTTCTACTGATCTATTAAATTAATACAGGAAGAAGAGTCTTTAAACAACTTTAACAGTTAAGTATTACACAAGTGTGACCCATAAGAAAAAAAGCTACCAGAACTGATCTGAACTCAAAAAGAATTTAAGTTTAGGCAACAGTTAAGAGTTTTCTTCACTGAGCTCTTCTTGCCCGCAAATTTCTCTAAATTACCGGGACAAGAGGAGGAACAGAATGAACAGCCTAGATTTTTCATTTAAATTGCAGCAGACTCACATTTGTTTCTTCAATGAAGGGCATAAGTAACTTGGTACTACTTCTGAAATAGGCTGAAAGTAAAATCTGGATGTTCTGCATAGAAAGGATTAGTTTATAGTAAAGAAATTTAAGTTTACAGCAACCCTAATCACCACAGAAATTTTAATTAGCATTTTAGCCAGTTGTTTGAGGTCTTTTGTATGAAGCCCTAATTTGGACAAGAAATAAGGATGTTTGAAGTTCCTCTGTGTCAAAATTAGTTTACACATTGATGTATTCCAAGATGTCATGGCTTAACCCCAGACAGCAACTAAGTAACACATAACTTCTCACTCACTCCTTCCCCCTCCTAGTAGGATGGGGAAGAGAAGCTGAAAAAACAGTAAAACTCGTAGGCAGAGATAAGAACAGGTTAAGCATAAAATAATAATAATAATAAATAATAATAGTAATGAAAAGCAGTATGACAGAGATAGAGAAATAAAACCCAGGAAAAGACAAGTGATACACAATGCAGTTGCTCACCACCCACTGACTGATGCTGCAGCAGCAATTCCCCCCCAGCCAACTCCCCAGTTTATGTACTGAGCGTGACATCCTATGGTATGGAATATCCCTCTGGATAGTTTGGGTCACCTGCCCTGGCCACACTCCCTCACAGCTTCCTGTGCGCCTCCTCGCTGGCAGAGCACGGGAAACTGAAAAATCCTTAAATTAAGGTAAGCACTACTTAGCAACACCTAAATGATCAGTGCATTACCAACATTATTCTCGCACTAAATCCAAAACACAGCACTGTACCAGCTACTAAGAAGAAAATTAACTCTATCCCAGTCAAAACCAGGACACAGGCCTTCAAAAATATTAACATCCCAACAGAAATAAGGACAAGCAAAATAAGAAACACAACTTTCAAATATAAAGCATCTTCAAAAAAAAGTTACTGCATCACAACACCAAGCCTTTCAGAACACCCACAATGTGATGATATGAACTGTGGGATTGAGTGCACCCTCAGCAAGTTTGCTGATGACACCAAGCTGTGTGGTGCAGTTGATATGCTGGAGGGACCTGGGCAGGCTTGAGAGGTGGGTCTGTGCAAACATCATGAAATTTAACTAAGCCAAGAGCAAGGTCCTGCACATGGGTCAGGGCAATCCCAAGCACAAACACCGGCTGGGCAACGATGAGTGGATTGAGAGCAGCCCTGCGGAGAAGGGACTTGTGGGTATCAGTGGATGGAAAACTGACTGTGAGCCAGCAATGTGCACTTGCAGCCCAGAAAGCCAACTGTATCCTGGGCTGCTCCAAGAGAAGTGTGGCCAACAGGTCAAGGGAGGTGATCCCCCTGCCTCTACTTCACTCTCGTGAGACCCCACCTGCAGTACTGTGTTCAGCTCTGGGGGCTCCAACATAAGAAGGACATGGACCTGTTTGAGTGGGTCCAAGGGAGGCCATGAAGATGATCAAGGGGCTGGAGCACCTCCCCTGTGAGGGCAGACTGTGAGAGTTGGGGTTGTTCAGCCTGGAGAAGAGAAAGCTCCAGAGAGACCTTATAGCAGCCTTCTAGTAATTAAAGGGGACTACAGGAAAGATGGTGAGTATAGTGACAGGATGAGAGGTAACAGTTTTAAAATGAAAGAGAATAGGTTTAGATGAGATACAAGGAAGAAATTATTTACTGTGAGGGTAGTGAGACTGGAAGACACTGTACAGAGAAGCTGTGGCTGCCCCCTCCCTGGCAGTGTTCAAGGCCAGGCTGGACAGGGCTTTGAGCAACCTGATCTAGTAGGTGTCCCAGCCCATGGCAAGGGGGTTGGAACTAGATAATCTTTAAGGTCCCTTCCAACCCAAACCATCCTATGATATGATGATTCTATGATATGCAGACATTAAAAAAAACCCCAAAAAACAAACACAAAAAAACCCCACACCATAATCAAAATCTTAATTTGAAAAAAAGATTTTATGGTATGACTGCACAAGGATATTTATGGAATCCAGGGTGTTCAGCAACTTCACAGCTACATTGTCAAAAGACAGTAATATAGGTCTAGATGGAGTTCTTGCTGTAACACCAAGATTAGAGGCAGATGGCCTAAGAGCTGAGTAAGACACTCTTTAGTCTTCACAGATTCTGTAGTAAGTTCTACCAGCCATATGCTGCAGCCATGAAAAAAGATCACAGACTTACCTCCTATCTCAGTCAAGCTGGAAGCACAGAGAATTGACAAGAACATGTAGTACGAGAAACAGAAGTGAAGCAGACCTCTGGCATTTAATATCATCTTTGGTGCCAAATCATTTCATCGGTGGAAGATCCCCCTCTCACACTGCCTCACTTTATAATAAAGCCATATCACATAATCATCATTCAGTTCTCAGTAAAGTTTCAATTCTGTTGCAAGACTAATACTAGATCCAGATTTCAGTGATTTACAGACAGAGCAAATGGATGCATACTCACATTACACATATTTCAATCACTTTATGGCTATGGCAGTGCTTGCTTTTAAGCACTATAATGTGCGTTCAAACAGCTGTATTTCCTCTAATGAGGGTTTGAATAACATAAGATACATATGTGAAAACAACTATGTTTTTGTAGCGCACCTGCAAGTCCAGGTGAGCATTTGTTTCACCATGCCTTTTCACCCTCTCTTCCTAAGAGCATAACTCCCTAGATTACTAAAAGAACTAAGCAACTGGGATGACAGTAGCACTCACAGACTGTGATATAATGATTATAAGCATAGCTATATTCTGACCTATTAATCTTGTGGTACTGGTAAATTTAAATGTCAGGGTGAACCTTCTTCTAAAGCAAAAGTGCCCTGCTGATTTCACTCTTAAAGCTGTTAAGCCTCTGTCCTGGTTCAGCTAGGATAGGGTTAAGTTTCTCCAGCAGAGATGGAGAAGGGATCTCCAGGCAGGTTATTCATACCATGCTGAGGTCAGTTCCACACTAGGGAGCATGGGAACCTTTTCCTTTGTGGCTTAGGTTGCAGGAAGCACATGGAATGGCCTGTCTGTATCCACTGCAGTATTTCTCTGTATATCTTTTGTCTTGTTTACTGTATGTGTGCACAAGGAATATAATGGGAAAAATGGTCTGGTTTAGTCCTGTGCCAGGCAAAGGTAAAGGCAAATCCATCCACGGGATTGCTTTTACTCAAGGACCTGGGTGCACCTGGTGGGTGATGCAGGACAATGGAGAGGTCCGATGTGTACCACAGGGGGACTTGATTCTGGGTGAGAACATGCCGTGAATTATGCTGTGCCTTTGCAAACTTATTTTGTTATTGGTAACTGCTAAATGGCAGCTGGTCATGACGCAGATGGTATAGAATAAAGGGGTGGATTATGTCCTGGTTCAACTAGGATAGGGTTAAGTTTCCCCAGAAGAGAGGGGGAAGGGATCTCCAGGCAGGTTATTCATACCATGCTGAGGTCAGTTCCGGGCTAGGGAGTGCAGGAACTTTTTCCTTTGTGGCTTAGGTTGCAGGAAGCACACGGAATGGCCTGTCTGTATCCATTGCGGTATTTCTCTGCATATCTTTTGTCTTGTTTAGTGTTATTACTGTTTGTTGTTGTTATCATTGCTACTGTTGTTGTTCAGATTGTTGTATTAAGTCTCTTCTTATTTCAGCCCTAAGATTTCTGCCTGCTTCCAGCCTTTCTGGTCTGAGAGTGGGGAAGGGACAACAGCCACATGGTCTCCAGTCCCAGCAGGGCCTAAACCACCACAGCCTTCTTCAGAAATAAGCTATCATTCCATGTACTTTAACAAGATTTAATACGTACAAAGTGTGATAATAAAAATCATTATTAGTGTCACTGTTGTGCATGAAGATTTCTAATCCATTAATGAGAGACTGACTATCTCAAAAGAGCTAAACCAAAAATAATGATCCCACCAGAGCAGTGTCATATGGGAAGTAGAAGAGGAATAATTTTTTCTGTCCTAATGAATAAGAATACAGTACAGAGACCCCCTAATGAGCTTCCTAGCAGAAAAAGATCCTACTTTTTTTTTTTGATCCTGAACATTTAAGTAACCTGAAGTATAACACTTCTGGCTTAAACTGGTATGTTTTACTATCATGTCAGAAGCAGGACTAACAATGTTTCAAAATGATCAGTGAATCTGAATACATAAATGACCTTGAAATGTAGCGGTTAGTCTGAAATTAATCAGTGCTCAATTGACTCATGAGTCATGGAAAACAATTTGACACAACTGCTTAAGTTTAG